GGAATTTTTCTCTTGTATTTTCCAAGTATACTGTAATAAAAATTTGGAGTTTTTCAGTAATCACGTCCTCCACCATATCCCCACACCAGAAAAAGTCTGGGGACCAAGGGGAAAGCAAATCTTGGTGGGGGGGAGGGTAGTGAAGACAGGAGATTGGGGAGGGGGCCTTGCTGTCAGATAAGAAGTGGCAGGTCAGGATGAATCCCAGGCCCCAGGGTTTAGAGGGATGAGAGGAAGAGGGAAAGGGATGCCGTAAAAACACAGGAGATACATTGGGACTGGCTAGTAGTCTCTCCCAAGGCCTCTGAGGGGGACAGCCTCACTCCCCAATCCTCCTGCCCCCCTACAGGCTGCATCTGGACTTCCTGCAAGTCCCATTAGGGACTTAGCACCCCTGGGAGGAGGCAAAGGGAGAGCCAGCCCAGGGCAGGGCAGACCTAGAGAATGCGGAACAAGTCAGACTCCTTCCTCAGTGTTCTGGGACGAGCACTTTCAGAGAGGGCCTTCACCACCAGCGTTCGCAGTACCTAAGCCCCAGTGTTAAGACCATCTTTAAATTCAGTTCCTATGTCCCAAAGGGCCTTGCGTGCACATAACAGCTTTCAAACAATGCAAAGTGAAATTCCACCCAGATACCATCAGCAATAAACGGCCAAGGGCAAAAAGGCATTGGTTAACTTCTCCCCGTTTTCAGAGAGGAAGCTGAGGAATGTAACTGGAGGAACTGCTCTTAATAGGTGGATGATGAGAGAGGCCTGCTCAGAGGCTTCAAAACTCTCAACCAGGATGAGCCTTCCCACTGTCCCGGGGCTTGAAGAGACAGGATACTGAAGGGGGTATGCACATGTTTTGACCTGCAAGATTTTCATTTGTTCTGTTTTCAAACACCTAGGATAAAACAACTTCCTCAGCAAAAAACCATTATTGTGTCAAATAGGGACTATAAGTACAAGTTTACATATCACCTTATAAACAAGCCCTAAATCTTCTGCTCAATGTGTGGCTGAGGGCCATGTGCTGGGCTGTGTCCTGCCTTTTATGACTGCTAATTTGGGCCAAGTTGGGTCCTTGTCTAGTCAGGAAGGCCCTGGAGCATGGGTCCCAAGTGGTTATATGTGTGTTACTTATTATTGGGGTTTCTTGTTATTCTTAGAGTGACATGAAGAGCAAACAAGAAAGGAGTTGCCAGGCTCAATAAATCTAAAAAGTAGCATAAATGTTCCTAATCAGCGATTTCCCCACCTTCCTGCAGGAGGGAGAGGAAAAATTGCCAAATCAACTTCCAGTTGGAAGGAATGTGTGACTAGCTGGACTGCCATGTGGGGGTAAAACTCAAAACTGTATTATCAAAGACAACTTACTAATAATTGAAGCCACCATCATCAGCTTTATAATAATTAGTGTCATTACTATTAGACTTAGGTATCTGCTACCACTGACTGTGTAGCCTCCATTTGGTCTCCCTTTGACCATCTGTGAAATAACGGAAATTTGCTGGGAATATGGCTGCCAGAATAATGACCACATTTCTCAGCCTCCCTTGCAGCTAAGCTATGGCCACACCAGGGAGTCTGGGAGGCAACAGCTCACAGGGTTACTGAAAATCACCAATTCAAGTACATCCCTGAATGCAGAGTCTATTTATTAATAATATTCTACATTTCAACTTTTTAACTTTTCCAAAGGCAAAGGAGGTACTCATGAATAAATGAATGAGGATTTCCACACAATCTTTTCCAAAGATAGCCATCAGTATTCTGAGAGATCATCCAGGTTGAAAGCACCACACAGCAGTTGAATTAACTATTGCCTGACAATGAGTAGATACATTCAACCTGATCGTAACAGTAGTAATGGTAAAACTCACAACATGGCTTATCTTAGTGAGTACTTCCTATGAATACTTTCATGCATTTTCCTCTTCTTTAATAAAATTCTGAGTTTTAGCGGCACATGGTCACCCAGCTGGAAAGCACATTTCCCAGTCCTGTCTGCAGCTTGATGGGATCACATGAGTACCTTCTGGCTAATGGGTTGTGAGCAGTGGCCAGGAGGCGAGGGATGTGCGGCTAAGAGGAAAGGTGCACCAGCAGCTTGACCCCCTTTCCCTCTTGCTAGCTGGGAGACCAGGCCAGCTAGCTGCCTTTTACCCAGAGTGCGAGCAGTCAATAAGCAGACATCATAGGGTCATCCTACCTTCGCTGGACTGCCTCCCCATGGACAGGAATGCCCACAGTATTTGGGGGTTTCTTTATTGAAGCAGCCTAGCTGGTTTCCTTCTTACTCACAGGCCTGATCTGGGAGCTTTAATCTTATTTACTGTGTTAAGTATAATTTATGATAGAGAATGAAAGACATACTATTATTTTATAAACCACTATGAACGAAAAAAATTGCTACCTGTTAAATTACATGTCATAGTTTCATCTTAGCACAGTGCTTACTTGTAACTACCAAAAGAATTTTTAGACTTAGACTTTTTAAAAATTTTCTATTGTGGGTAAAATTGCAGTATTTCCAGAATCTCTCACCTGGCCTTAGTGTATATCCATATCAATAGGTGTTTGCAAGGGGTGGAGAGAAAACAGCCATCTCCATATCAATAGATGATTACAAGGGGGAGTGAGGGCATATCTGGACAAGAGAGGTTGGGTGGGGTCCCTTTTCACAGCTGGGTCACGAGAGACATGGGACAACAGAAGTGGACGACAGCTTATAAGCAATAAACAGGTTTCTCCCACTTTATTTCTCCCTTTGACTGATTTCAGCTTCAAAGGTAATTTGCCCTGGGCTGTGAACATATTTCCCCCTGGAGTTACATCTATAAACCACTTACATATGGACATCAAAAGGAAAACATACCAAACTGGGATATTCCTAAAATCTTTACAGGATCTGACTCTTCTGAGTGACTTTTCTGACTCAGAAGTCCCTGCTAGCATTTTTATTTTCCCTACACTTCACCCTCTGTGCCATCAAGAGCATCAGTGATACAGCATTTCTTGAAAGACTGTATCGTTTTTGTCCTTGGCGTTTTCATTAAGTTCTTAACACTCCTTCTGCAAGTTTTGATGCTGGAGCTTTCCTAATTCTACCAGATGTCGATGGAGTTGTCAGACACCAACCAGAAATCACTGCGTTCTGTGACTTGTTGACAGTAATACTGGCGGTTATGGCTACCTTGTCACACCACCAGAAATGACAGGGCATTATGCTTTGGAGGGAGCTTATTCTTTTAACTTTCCTGATATGTGTCCATGAAATAAGTCCAGAACTAACATACAAAGGTTCCTGGATGTCTATTTCAGCTTAGTTCACATAACCTCCTCCCCCAGCACCCCCCAAGGCCCCATCCCCTTTACTCCAAGTCCTGGCAGCATCACTTGGAGGGAAGTTTTGTTAAATGATGCATATATGTCTATTAAAGTTAAGATGATGTGTAGGGATGTGCCCGAGATCCCACAGGCACAGGTAAAGACAATATGCTGTGACTGCCACCTGCCCAAGAGTGGCTGTAAGGCACAATCAATTCAAAGTACAGTTTGGGAAATATTAAAAATATGCTTCATAGAATACATCACTGGAGTACAGCAATGTCCACAGCAACCTTTTAAGTAGGTGATATTATGGTTTCCATTTTGCATATGAGGAACAGAGATGACACAGCTTTGCCTGTGCTCTGGCAAGCTAGGAAGTGGTAAAATTATATTTAAAGCAAAACCCATTTCTCAACCATTATCTTATGAAGCAGTAATTTATTGTATGATTCTTCTTCTAGTTTAGAACAGGAGCTGGAGCCATCAAACTATGGCCCACCAGCTAAGAATGGCTTTTATATTTTTGAATGGTTAAAAAAAATCAGAACAGTATTTTGTGGCATGTGAATATTATTTGAAGTTCAAATGTCAGTATCCATAAATACAATTTGACTTTCACCAATAAAAAAATTATGAAAATTTGTTTTTTCTTAGATGAAATTACCTACTAATAGCTTCTATTTTGCCTCTTGTCCTGTAAAACCTAAAATATTTACTATCTAGTCCTGGACAGAAGTTTGTCAAGCCTTGGCTTAGAGCGCTGTAAAAACAAAAAATAAGAGCCGACATTTGTTGAGGGCTTAGTCTGTGACAGTTCCTGGACTATGTATGCATTGGGTCTGTGTTCTCTCATGTAATGTAATTCTTTCCATGAGCCTTTGGGATAGACCATCATTTCCCCATTGTCGTTATGGAATGGGGCCTGGCCTGCCCAATGCAGCAGGATCCTAACCCTGGCCTCACAGGGACCCTTCTACTCATTTTGAAGCCATGGCTTTACATGAAAGAACATGCATAATAAAATCCACCAGTAACTCCAAATCTTGAGTGATTCATTCACCTATGACATCAGGAGTCCCTACCCTATACCAGGCACTCTTTCCAGTAGGAAGGATCTAGCAGCGAAAGAGAGACAAGACCCCTGACCCCACAGAGCCTTCATTCCAGGTGGGGAAGACGGACACTAAATGAACAAAGAAGTCTCAAGGTTAAGAACTATCCGGAAGATAAAACAGGGTGATGAGTCACTCTTTCTGCCCCCGGTGCTGTCTTCAGACGCTGCCCCATCACGACGAGCTCAGCTGTACACTGGCTAAGATCTAAAGACTGGAAGAGACCTAAATTAACTCCAACATTCAGAAAGAGGATAAACTAAACAAATGGGTTCTTAGAGTCATCACCACATCAAAAGAGCCTGGGAAACAGAAGGAGGTAAAAGACAATCACCTTTAGAAAAATGGAGAGAAGGAAAAAGGAGGGTGTGAGCGGCTGGAGGGGGAACGTGCCACGCGGGAGCTAGTAAGTCTAGTCCTGGGTGGGGAGCCAGGCAAGGGCCTCCCACCTCCGCAGCTGCGTCCAGAGCGCTCCCCGCGGCCGAGGTCCCCAGTTAACACGCTTCTCCAGGAAAGGCCTGTCGGGCTTCCTCCCCTCTCCCCGAGGAGGGCCGGGCAGGAATGGGGGAGGCGCGTGGGGATGGGGGGCGAGGGCTCCCGAGCTGGGGGCTCTGCGCTGGGGGTTCCTCGCCGCCCATGCGGTGATGCTGGGAACCAGTGAGCCCCGACTTCTCGGCCGCATTCTGCTCATTATCACGGGCCCGGCTCCACGTTGACTGGTCCAGAAAAGGATTATGTAGCTCAAAACCCACGCTGTCCCACTCGCAGGAGGTCGCAGGGTTTGGGGGGGCGGCACGCCTGGCCCCAGGGTAAGCCGAAGGCAGCCAGCGGTGCGGACGGAGCCCCACTCCGGGACCCGGGAGCCCACGGCGTCCCCTGGCGCCCAAGCGCGGTCCCCGCCGACCGCGGAGCGCGCCCCTCCTCTTTCCGGCTCCCGCCCGGCCGCCCCGCCCCCTTTCCACCCTGGCCGCGCCCGCGCCGGGGCCCCGGAGCCGCCGTCGGTGGCCCACGTGGAGCGGCGCGCGCTCCGAGCCGCCCGCCGGGGATGCTCGCGCACACCGCCCCGCCCACCGCCCGCTCGCGCGGCACGTCCGGCACGTTCAGCCCGTCCTCTCCGGGCTCCCGCCGCCGGGCGCCCGCGCCCCCGGACGGGTTGGCATCAAGCACGTGCAGCCCCGGGCCCCGCCGAAGCCAGGGCGCGCCGGCCACCCCACCTCCGGGGGACCCGGACGGCCGCGAGCGCCGGACACCCACCTGACGATGGAGCCCCGTGCCGGGGTCTCCCGGCTGCCCGGGCCGCGGTTGCTCCCGGCCTGGGAGTCTTGCAGCCGCCGCGGCCCGAGCGGGCCTTTCCCGCCGCCACAGCCGCCGCCGCCGCTGCTGGCGCGACAGGGCGCTCGGGGGCTGCGCGGCGGGCCCGGGGGCCGCAGCGGGCGGCGGAGCTGGCGCAGGAAGAGCGGCAGGCGCGCGCTCATGGCGCGGCGGGGTGGCGGGGCCGAGGGCCGGCAGGTCCTCCCGCGACCGGTGATGCGGCTGCAGAGCAGAGGGGCGCGGCGGCGGCAGGCTCCTGCCCAGGGTGGCGGGGCGGGCGCCAGGCGGAACCCGGCGGGCCGGTGACGGGCCGGCGGCAGGAAGGACAGCCGATCCGGGGCCCCTAGGGGGCACTGCACCTAGTGGCAGTGACGTTGGGTGGGCGGGGGCCTGCGGGACGTAGGGCAGCTCGTTCGATTTGCCTGGACGTCAAAAGGGCAGGCTTTCTGGCACTTTCTTGACTACTCAGAATAGGGTTAGCGAACAGAATCGGGGGGGCTGGGGCATCAGGGGGACTCGAGCCCTGTCCCGAGCCAGTACTTTCTACCTCTGCCTAGGATGCTGCTACCAGCCTGCCTTTGGGAGGCTGTTTGCTTCTGGAAGGGTACATGGCTGTGGTCGGGCTTCGATATCAGGGCTGGGGGTGGCCTACTGTGGAGAGAATATCCGCTTCGGTGTTCAAATGCTATGTAGCCTTAGGCGGGTTACTTAAAGCCTGTAAACTTTAGGTGCCTCCGTGAGTTAAAATGAGACAAAAGGATGTGGAAATCTTAACCAGGATTTTTGTTCACAGGTAAAGTGGGAGTAAAACTAGTCCAAATTATAAATACCGGTTTTCCATCAGCTAGACACTATACTAGGTGCTGGAGAGACACCTCATCTAATCTTAAAAATGCATAGATCTTCCTCAGTTTGCAATGGTGCTACCTCCTGATAAACCCATTGTAAATTGAAAATACTGCTAAGTAGAAAATGAATTTAATATACCTAACCTACTGAACATACAGAGCTTAGCTTAGCCTACCTTAACCGTGCTCAGAACACTTACCTTAGCCTACAGTTGGGCAAAATCACCCAACACAAAGCCTATTTTGTAATAATGTGTTGACGAGCTCACGTAATTTATGGAATATTGGACTGAAAGTGAAAAGCGGAACGGCTGTATATGGGGACAGGGTGGTTGTCAGTGTCTGGGTTGTTTCCCCTTCTGATCCCTGGGTGATGGGAGCTTCCACTGCTGCCGAGGATCATGGGAGAGCATCCTACTGCATGTGGCTAGCCTAGGAAAAGATCAACATTCAAAATTCTAAGTGTAATTTCTACTGAATGTGTATTGTTTTTTGCACTATGATACAAGGAAAACTCGTAAGTTGAATGATGAAGTCAGGGGCCATCTATAATGATTGAACTATGGTCTTGATTTTCAGCTTTGGAGAAACTGGAGTTTGGTTTATTGGCAGAGCTGGGAGTTTGCCTGACTCCAGTGATCACGTTCTTAATCCTATACTTCTCTTCTTAGTACACTTAGTCTTACACTGTCTGTATCTTTCATGGTAGGGTGATCGCCACATCTGACACATGATGACTTTGGGTGCAGGAATAGCTCACATGTCCTAACCCTGTGATGTAGGTACTACCACCATTTTACATAGGAGGTTACAAAACCACAGGAGTGATGCCTCATACAAACATAAATATCAGAAAGGAGACTTGAACATCCCATTCACCTACTGCCATGATGATCTTGGGCAAGTCCTAAAATCCTTTGGAGACTGATTTGTCTCTATACATTGGGGGCCCTTCGTTTAACAGACATTCAATGGACACTGCTAGACATGCACCACTGGTCTCAAAGATGAGAATCACCTAGTCTGTAGGGAGTGTATGAGAACTCTCTGACCTTCATTTTGCCATGAACCTAAAAGTGCTATAAAAAAACAAGGTTTAGTTTACCCAGTGTCTGCCCTCCAGAAGTTTCAGTGGTAACTGCCACATTAGGTCATCATCACATTACTGCTGACTGCTGACAAGGGTAATACTTAAAAAGACTGTGAAGACCACATACTGTAGGATCCCATTTATAGGAAATGTCCAGAATAGGCAACTCCATAGATAGAAAATACACTAGTGGTTGCTTATGGTGGGGCAGTGAGCAGAAGGGGGGATTGCTTTCCAAGGTGAGGAAACTGATGATGGTTGCACAAATCTGTGAATACCCCAGAAATCACTGTGCTTCAGATAAGGGAATTGTATGGTATGTGAATTCAATGCCAATAAAGCTGATAACCAAAAAAAAAAAGGACTAAGACAAGGTGGTGGGAGTGCTGGGCTTTAATCACTCCTGAGGAGAATCAGAGAAAACACCAGGATTGGATGCTTGAGCTGTGAGCGGTCTTTTATAAAGACTACATACTATTTATTTAATAAAAGACATATACTATTTATTTATAATGTATAGAGAAGTGTAAAGGAAAAAAAAATCACCCAGAACACTATTGCCAAGACATGGTTAATTTTGATCTTTTTATTATAAATTATCCTATAAAATTGCAGCCTTATACTATGTATATAGGTCTATTCTTCACTTACTGTATCTGACAATGAAATTGGGAAAGGATAGTACTTCATGGTTCTATACTATAATTTAGGATGTGGATAGACCACAGTGTATTTTACCTTTCCCTGTTGGTGGTTTGATTTGTTTCTGATTTTTGATGTGAGAAATAATGCTGCTCTGAACATCTTTTCATTTGTTTGTTCAGTAACCATGTGTTGAGGGCCTTCTGTGTGGTGCAGGAGGGAGGGGAAGAAGGTGGGTCAGGGGCCACACCGCGGTGGTCACATTTATCAGTTTCCCTTTGCAGAAGTAGATCTCAGAAAACTCACAATTGATAAAAATGTTCACTGGGGAAGAAACAGTACAGAGATGTGGAGGATAAACAACACAGCAACATTTTCATAGAAAAAAGTAACCCTTCTGATCATTGCAAGGAATTGCAGTTGCAAGGACAAGCATGGCATTTTTATGAGTTTGGTAGCTTGGCACAGCACAGCAGGATCCAAAGCCTCCCCAGTATCTTACTCTGTATGATGAAAGATTTGAATAGAAAAGATCAAGCTGAAAACGGCACACCTAAGCCAAACTAACTGGGAACTGTAAGTCACAAAAACGAGCTTACAACTGGAAATCCCTAATATGGGAATGTCTTCGGCTTTATGTATATGGATATATATATGCTACAGAACCAATTTGGAGAAGACACACTGTGGAGGCAGTTCTCAGTCATCACCAAAAGCCCGTAGTGACACACACCTTTAAAGTGATACGCCACATCTTTAAGTTAGATGATGTTTTCAAGTAGCATAATATTCTGAGCCTAGAGGCCACGTTATTTTTTAAGTGAATTAAAGTTATACTTTCTAATCTTAAAACAATTCTAGGTGAAAGTGAGTTGTGAGTTTTAACATTAAGGTAATAAAACATTTTCTGAGTCAGAGAATTATGAGTTGCAATTAATACTATTAAGCTTGTTAGATGTCCCATACTATAGAAAAATAGTGGAACAAGAGTGGAACACTGTACATGACATATAGGAACATCTTATTTATTTATAATATTTGACATTTAACTAAGGTCTGTCTCATTCCAGTATCATTCGTTGTGATTTTAATATGCAATTTTATTTTTTAAAATTACTTTAAGATCTAGGACCACAAATGCCTGTACTGATGGAGTTAGTTAAAATATTTAATTCGGTCTCTTCAGGCCTGGTGTGAACACCCATGGAGGCCTCTGTCCTGTTTGCCTGCTCGCCCTCTCAGGCCTGGCCCTGAGGTCAACAGCCTGAGCCCCCAGGTGCTCCCATACCACGTGAAAGGTATTGGGGTTCTTACAGGCTCGGAATATGCACTTACAGAAGAATAGGAAAGGAAGAAAGATTTACAGAACTGAACTTTAGGATCCTTCTTATTCCCAGGTTTGTTTCATAGGGAAGTGTGATCCCTTTTTGACAGATTTGTCTGAATTTGTTTACCCAAAACTCACACATATATTGGTTTACTTAGGAAAAGTCAACTATACTGAGAGGAAAGGGCTCTGGATGTGGAAGCCCTTGCAAATCCATTCGCTGACATCCTTTCCTTAGTGGACAGAGGTCATTTCAGAGCTCTTCGAGGTAACATTCGAACATATAAAAAAAAAAAATATATATATATATATTTATATCTGAGGTTAAAATTATATATATTTTATGGATATATAATGTATAATTATTAAATCATATAATAAATACATTAATACTTATAACAAACATATATTTATATTAATATGTAGTTATTACATATATCAATATAATTAGCCCATTGATAAATATCAATTGATATAACTAATGTTGATATAATTATGACATAATGTACTGATATACATAAATGTATATTATACACACACACACACACACATATATGGAGAGAGAAAGTGAGAGAAGGGGCTGCATTTGCTCTATACCGGACTATGCTAAGCCTGTTGGGGAATCAACTTTGAACAGGACAGGCACAGCCCAGGTCTCCGAGCTGACTGTGCAGAAGCGCAGGTGAATTAATGGAGAGTTATGACTATGATGGTTCAGAGTCTTGTAAGCTTTCGAAAAAAGTCACCTTCCTCAGCCTGGAGAGTCCTAATAGCCTGGTAACGCTCAGGGAAGACTTAGGAGTCAAGCTGAGGGAAGGAGCCTTGGGGAAGGAAGATGAGAGCTGAGTCTGGGCTGGAGACAGTTCTGACTGTACCTCCTGCTCTTGGGTTGGATCACAGGAGAATAAATAGCCTCCCCCTACAGGAACCTTAGGAGGAACAACATCCTCAAGGGAGAGCTAAGTTTTAGCCCCAAAAGAGAAATGAATTAAAGGGGCACATGAGGAAAGGCTGTGGGAAGAAGAGCTGTGAGGAGGAGCAGGGCAGGGATGCCAACAAAGAAAGATGGCCCTGGGGGCATCCATCCTGGGAGACGAGGCCCAGGATATCAGGGACAGGAAGCATAATGACTGAAGTGATCCAGAGGCCAAAGAGACAGATGCAGCAAATACTGGGAAGGTTAAAAGCATAGCAAGGACACTTGGACTTCTCAAAGCTCAGGTTGGATTGCACTTCACGGGAGTCCTGGTCTTCTGGGGATGAGGAGACTTTGCTCTCAGAAGGCTTACCTGAGGCTTGAATGGATTGCCTGGACTTAGAAGCTCTGCATTTAGTGCAGCTTTTCTGAAACTCCCAGAATGCAGTCTGTGCTCTGTGTGTTTAGAATGGAAAGCATGACTCCACAAGGCTCAGGCTTGATCCCTAGGAGCTGGAGTGACACACACCAACACTAGCCTGCAACATCCACATTATCACCAACCAGTTCTGCAGGCAAGGCTATGCATTCAATAATTCTGTACATATCTTTAACTGCAGCTGATGATTTTCTTAGAATAAATTTCTAGGTGTATTAATTACTGGGTCAAAGATTAGGAATTTTTGATGCTATTGACCTACATTACCAAACTTTTTTTCTGAAAAATTTATAGCAACTTATATTCTCATTTAGTTGGGAGTAACCATCTTTCTCCATTCTTAATATGGGATAATAATTAAAAAAATTTTTTTTGTATGTCAGAATTTTATCACTGTTCTGAGACAACTCTCCCTGAGTCTCTAGCACTTGGCATTTCTTCCTGTCTTGTCCCAGGCTATCACTGCAAGGACATCTGTACAGCAAACAGCCTTGGAAGATACAGTGTCTCCCTTTGACAGATATATTTGCTGTCCAGAGAGTAAAGATAATTTTTCCCTGCAGGAGCGAAGATTGGACAGGTTTGCTAGTAGCCCTTTAAGACTTGGGATTTCTAAATTCAGGGTTCCTCAGCTGTGAAACAAACCCACTGTGTGCAGAATGCACTGGGCTGCTCTGCGTTGCCCCCCATGAGCCTGGAGGAGAAAAGGGAACCAATACAAATGTGAAGCTCATGCTGTTTGCAGTGCTGGTAGTAATAAAGCTCTTTATCTCTGACCTAGGAGTCTTGTTTTTTCTGCCAGCATCCATGAAACTGAAGCAGGCTAACTTTTTAGCTTGCAAACTGAGTAAAATCCCAAATCCTGCAGGGTCCTTGACAGTGATTTTTGAGGTGAGTCTTGAGGCCCATGCAGATCTCCTGGATGAAGAGAAGTAAACAAATCTGGAAGTGGGGAAGCCAGTGGCCAAACAGGTAGGAAGCTATAGTAAGAAGCTGAGAAAAAAAAATACCAACTAGAGAAGGAGCTTCAAAGGAAGAAAGAGCACTAGACTGAGGAAAATGACAACTCAGGTGGAGATGTCCTGTGGGATCTTTGCACTCAGAAAGGAAGTCTAAGCTAGAAATGATGTTTTAGGGGACAGAGGATAAATGGTAGCTCAAGCCTCAGGTGAGCTCATAATATTAGAGGAGAATGGAATGGAGAACATTTGGTCTCACAGATTTGAGGCTTATTGAAATCAGGTGGATAATATAAACTAGTGAAGTGAGCCAGGTGTAAAATTTCCTCCAAAGAAGCAACAGGTTCTTCACACTTTCTATGACATGTTTGTTTTACTTTAAGAGGAGAAATCTTATTTTCTATCTAAAACATTTGCATTTAATTGCTTTAAAATTTGCTGACAAAGTCTATTATGGAGAACAAAGGAACAATCTTCCCAGGGGTTAAGACTAGTCACCGCAGTTTAGGGTGATTTTGTACCTTTAGATTCTCTCTTCAGATCTCACAGAGTTGCCTCAGCAGTCCAGTTTTTTTTAAAGAAGCTGGAATTTGGATGTTTATTTTAAAACTTTAAAAAATCATGCAAGCCGGAGTCAGCCTCACTGCTTGCTTCTCTTCCTTCATTGATGCATTGTCAATAAGCCATTATCAGGAAAATCAAGTTTTGTTTTATAGAGACATAAAGTGAACTTAGTCCATGGGAATGCACCACCATTGTAAAGTAGGCAAGTTTGTCTTTTGGCATAAAAAAAAAAAGCTGTGCATTCCCCACCTCATCACAACTAGTTCTTAGGAAAGACATTTGGTCTTAAATGGATTTCAGAGAAGGGAATGATAATCCAGTTTTCACATGACCATGTGGATTCTTAATTTAAGATGTTACTGGAAATCTCACTCAGATTAAATATCTCTGGAATTCTATCAGCCAAGAAAAGGGTCTCATAGTATTTTTTCCCTGACCTACCAAACAGGAACTCTAAAAGTGCATGATGACATTGGATTTCTGAGGGTAGGTGCTATGAATTTTAAAAAGCAACTTTGCCGTTGTTCTTACTTCCCTCCTTTGTGTCTCCAATTTGAATGTTTTTTCATGCTTTGGGCTCAAACAAGTTTTTAACTCTATCTATTCAATCATAAATATTTATTGATCACCAACAGTCAGGCACTGTGAAGAGCTGGTAAAAAACATTTCCACCTCAAGGGGTCAAGTGAGACATGCTGCTCTTTAGAATCTTCCAAAAAGAAACTTCTGAGCTCCTAAAAATGTTCTCAAAAATGTTATAGACCAAACATCCCAAATTATATTAGTTTACAGTTATATGGATTAATTGTGCAATAACTAATGCAGCAAAATTCTACATTATCTTGGTGTTCCATGCCATAAGCTATTTGTAAGGAAAGAAAAATGTGAGAAGCTAGATGTGCGCAAAATATTATGCTCTCGTACTATTTTAAAAGAAAAAGTATGCATAAGAAAGCTCCAGGTCTCATCAAGGGTTAAGTTAAAGGCACAGACATATGTAAACTAGCAAAAAGCTGAAGTAGTTTCTTTTATTGCCCTGCCTTTCTGGCTGATAGAATTGAGTGCAGTTTCCACTGTACAGGTAGAGGAAGTTAGATCTAACACAGAGGAGATGAGAGCTCCTCAAGTACTGTTGACATTTGTTCTTCAATGTCGAGATGATTTAAAAGATTTAAACTTAAGGGACAAATGTTATTAAATATTTAACAGCTATATTTAGAGCTCATCACGAACCTGCGGAGTTTTAAGATTTTTTTCTTCTAAGCATTTATGTATAGACTTTACATAGGGCACAGTTTATATGTCATTCACTTCTCTAAACTGAACTATAACGACTTATATAAAAGCCCATCTATTTTCAACCTTAAGGTAGAAGAGTACGAAAGGTAAGTCTGATGGATCCTCAATGTGAAGTTTTAGAAACTCCACTCAAACACTCTAAAGAAATTTTAAAAGCCATTTTCCTCTGTATAAGGTAAGTTAGGCAACATTTATATTCATTATACTGGAGTAGGGTACTAAGCGCCATTTGGCAACAGAATTGCTTTAGAAAGTGTCTATGAGCATCAATTTATATTAACATGCTTTTGTTCGCCATAAATTTTTTATCTGTTAAAGAAAATTCAGAACATGAACTTACATTAGAAAAACCTTCATTTGTGACAAAAAGTGAGTTGTACATTAATTTTTTGATCCAATAATGAAATAAGTAGAAGTGAATCTTGTTACTACAAAGTAAAAAAAAAGACAATATAGTGATTGTTTTAACTTAGCCACCAATCAAGAAAATACCATCTCAAACATTAAATTCATTATTTAAAAATTATCCGAAGATACAAAAATAGTCTGTCACTGAAACATGGTATATCATCATTACCTGAGCCATTTTCTGCACAGCTCATAAGGCAAGACAAAGTATTATAACTAAAGGTAGTTTAGAAAAATCGTGACCTTTCTGGAGTAAACACATTCACACTATAAGTTACTTTGTACTTTACAAACTTTATTAAATAATGAGCATTACTAACTTTCATTATCTTATATACAGTATTTAAACTATGTTTTCCTAGATGCATTGTTTTTGCATGAAGAATAGAGTAGGTGAAAGGTGAACTTATAAAAAAACCAACTGAACCTTCAGCACAGAGCCCTAATAAGAACTTGACATACTGTTAAGTACAAATAACTTCCCAACTATATACATCCCTTCCCCACCTCCAAAAGGAACTTTTAAACAAAAACCCTTAATTGACAACTTTGAAGAAAAATAGAAACATGATTATATATACACAGCTCTCAAAATCTGCATCCTGGATGACAGAGGTGATCATTAAAACTAAAGATTTGTCCTAGAATTTGAAGACAACCACAGATTTTATACAGTGAGACATCCACCTTCCTGCAGCAGAGTATTCCTACAGGTGACATCAAAGCCGTGCAACAAGAAACTGGTGTGAAGAATCAATGATATCTGAGTGTAAGATGCCACATTAATACGGACAATATAGAATTTGGATCATATGAACCAAAAAGCAAAAGTGGGGAACTGTATTCTTGGGACAAGAAAAATCAGGTGACTGTTTTGCAAATGCACTTCTAAGTACCTCTAGCAATCTAGGGACATACTTTCCTACAGTGCTTGTCTTTTCTGTTCCTGCTTAAATCTTAAAAACTCATACCATGTTTAAAGAAAGGCCAGAAGGAAGAAATATTTTCAAAATCATGCTATTCAATATGGATTTTGTTTTACAAGCTACAAGGTGAAAGAACAGTATAGCAAAGCAAGAAACAAGTTATTCTGTGGTATTTAAAAAAAACGAATGCCTTAGGTACCTGTTTGTAAAATGAGGACGGTCCCATTTTATGTTTTATGGTGAAGAAAAGAATGTTGATAAGATGTCCCTGATTCAAATCAGTATCATTAATATCATTAATATCATTAAATGATAAACTTAGATCCCCTTTCTCTACACATATTATCGTAACTTTTAAAATGAAAACTGAAAGATGGTGAAGGGGGCACAGAATATAAAACTGCTTAAAATGAGAATACAAAGGGGTCTGAGAACATTCACGTTGTATTGACTAGAGTCTTCAGTAAAATAGAATATTTTTATAAAGTAGCCATAAATTTGCCTTCATTTTTCTCTTTAGTTTCTTTGATTTTGCTTTTTACTCACAAGGTCTTGCTTTTGTTTTTCAGTTTCCTTCCATAAAGTCTCACAGTAGTACATAATATCACAAGGAACCACTATTTAAAGACCATAGTTACCACATAGAAGATGTTAGAACTTAGTAGCCAAAGGTTCTATTCTTATATATACCTCAAAACAATGAGAGAAGGCCCCATGTTTTATGTGGTTTAGAAAATAAATTTCATTGCAGTTGTTGAAAGCCTCCAGGGTATGTGCAGATCTTTTGACTGACTACGAATCTCACGACGTACTAATGAAAAACCTCTCTGGGAAGAGTAACTTCAAACTGCTTTGTTTTATTTGAGCTTATGGTTTACTTTGTACTGATCAGAGATAAGCACAAAAATAGTATAAAGGGTTCTATTATCCTCATCCAACTCTAATAGGAGAAAATAAAAATAAAATTGTTCCTAGTGTCAACTCACCTTTCTAGCAGTTAAGTCAATTTGTATTTTCTTAGAGTTGGTTTTCTTTAAGCCACTGACAGAATCATTCATTCTACCCCAGAATTCATAAACATGATGAGCAGCACATTCCCCAGGCATTGTCCAGGAATGCGGGTAAGGATTTCTGTTTAATATTGGACGTGCTACATTCTAATTTCCAAGTTACACAATTTCTGCATTGTAGGAAAACCAGCACAGAAACCCTAAAATGGGTACTTATAGACTATACTCCAACTAGAGATCTCTAGCTTAAGTTATTATCCTAGGGTTTTGCCAGAAATGTAGCAGGAATGCTAGACAGAATAAGCATAATCCCCCAGACAGCTTTAGTTTCCTTTCCTTTTTAAAAGGTGAAAAAGGCTCCTTGCTGCCTTTGAGTCCTAGGATAAAACTAATCATGGCTTCTGGATAGTAAGAAAGGATTACTGCATTTCTTAATGCTATCAGGATATGGGAAAAAATATCTGACCACATTGTTAAAAAAAAGCCTAAAAATTTTCAAGTGAGACTGACTGACATGAAATATGATGATAATCAGCATCAGAAAACCTACTGTTAGGTGCTGACATTTGCTACAGTAAAATCCTGGCTGGATTGTCAGCCATTTCAAAAAGTTGTGCGGTAAAAGAAAGTCTATTTTACACCTCTGGTTATTACAAAATTGTTTTAATCTGGTACATATAAAATACCTCTCAGTAACTGTGACTTAGGAGCATAATGAGAAGTTACTTCTGGCAGGTCCTTGTAAGAACCTCAGGCGAAGCTGCTTGAACTAAGACACTGAAACTTTTCCCTCAAAGACTGGACAATATTTTGCTGACTGGGAGACGGCCCCCTCCAGAGATAGTCATTCAGTTTGTCAGAATCGCTGTATGATGTCAGATACGGTGAAATGCCAAGCTTGCCACTTACTGGCCTTTTTGGAGTGCACGGCGTATTCAAAGGGTAAGATGTGCCACTGCTGCCAACGGTACCAGAAAAGTCAGCATCCATCATCTTGGAGTCAGGTTCCTTTCTTCGACTGTAAGAGAGCTCTAACTCTGACGACTCCTCTTCTTCGGACTTTATTTCTACATAGTCATCTTCATCTTCTTCAGTCTCTTTGAAATTGGAAAGATAGTTCTGTGTAGCTATTTGGGAATTTAAGGGTAGATTTCTATTTACTACCAGAACTTTCTGTGAGTCTTGGAGTATGAGATCTGAGCGTTTTTCAGTTCCCTGTTGACATGAGTCAGCAATACCTGGCAGCAAATCCTGGTGACTCTCACACCTTGAACTTTTGTGTAGAGGCAGCACCTGTTTCTTTCCCATTTCACCAGGGTAGTTGATGGAGTCCATGGACTTGTTTATCAAGATGGAGGAAGATGACTGAGACCTGTTATATGGCTGAGATTTAGCACTGATTCCTTTCCGGCCCAAAGAGTTGTAAAGGTGGCCCTGACATGGGTTTTCTTTGTGGGGCTGGCTGACTACCACACTGTGTCTCTGCATGGAGCCCAGCGGAGGGTCGGACATTTGAAGGGAGGGCACGGAGCAAGCTGTGGTCAACTGTCTTGGAGTACTTTTTGTACTGACCTCTAAAGTGGAATATTTTGACTTCAAGTCTTGCTCTGGCTGGGAACAGAAATCTGCTAATTCTCCATTACTATAGGTGGAGTGCAAAAGCCAATCCTGACTACCTTGTTGGGCCTGGGAAGGTGATGCACACCTGAGGTTGGAAGGCTCTTGAGGGCTGGCCCAGCCATCCTTCTGAGGCTTACAGGGAGTCTCTCTGAATACAATCTGGTCATACACTTGGGAATACTCAGCAATCCTGGCACCTGGAAGGCAAATATTGAAACAATCAATACACATGGGATTATTTCTATGTATATAGGATTCTATGTATATAAATATACATAGGATTATTTCTATGAATGAAGAGATTTTAAAAGCATAAAACATTCTAACAAACATTAAAAATATTTAAACAGTAGACAGCACTTTTTAAATTAGTTTGAGTATGAGTAGTCATTGAATACTAAGCAACACAAACTAATAAAATAATCCACAGTTCAATAAAAAAATTAAAATGCCACCTAAAGATCATTTAATTTGATCCAATTATATCATTTAGTTTGATCTAACAATTCTGGATTATTTTATTTCAACAGCAGGTCTGCAAGAGTTCACTGTTCATAATGAACATTTCTAGTGTTCTTTATAAGCATGAAAGTGTCAGTGCTAAAAACAGGCATCATAAAGACAAGAAAGTCAGCACTTAAGCCCTGGTCAATAAAAAGTAACTCAAGTAGTCATGGAAGGAAGCATGACCACAATCTGCCATGCAAAGGCTACCCTGGCTTCCCACCGGTCTTGACTGAACTCAGACAACTACCCCAGAGGTTTTGCTCCCAGTGGCTATTCCTGTACTTCTCGTTTCCATGCAGCATGCTGCTGTCTGGGTAACCAGGGTCTACAGGAGGTCCTCCTTCCCAGTATTTCAAAACCACATGCATTGACTGACCCACATCTCTCCTCCCATCTCCAAGAAGTCAGGAGCTGAAGTCTATGCTTCTAAGACATTAAGACGGAACCATCTGTGCATATAACTGCTAATCTAATGCTCTCTAGTACTGGGGCCAGAACAGGATTTGCCTGCTATTTCCACAAAAGCTGTTGGCACTTCCGATTAGGCTATAAGGACACTTTCCTTTCTGCTCCATTTCTGAGTATAGACATTTCTAAAGACATTAACAGAACCATTGTGTGGATAGAGAATTCTCTTGGGGCAGGAATGATTTAAAAGAGAGAGCCCAGAAACAGCAGTTTTGAGAACTGTTTCTTCCCCATTCCCCAATCCCCAATCCAGGAACCCACATGACCACCCTAGAATTCAAGAATTCCATGAGTCCTATAAATCTCTCAGAACACATCTAATCAGTCCTATTCCGGGAATCTATCCCAAATATGATGACCAGTAAAGTGACATATTTCCTTCTTCTTTAAGTTAGTCATGTTTTTAGTAACCTGCTATTAGTAAGTCATTCCTTGAATTTAAACTAAATATCTAGTTGCATTTCTGCCATTTCTTTCAAATTATCTTCTACAAGGACAGAAAATAGTCTATTATTCTGTGTACCCTTTAATTTCAACCCCTCAAATTGCTTGCTCCCTGTCCCCAAAATCAGTAAATAGTCTGTTGAACTTCTCTCTATAGATCTTATATTCAGATCCTTCAGGTTTTCAAGTGCAAATTCCTCGAAAAGACAGAGATAATTAGTTTAGAATTTCTAGTAAAAAAACTTGAGCTGTTATTCCTCAAAGGGTATTGTAAAGACTCAGAATGCCAATTACTATTTGGCAACCCCTTAAGAGGCTAAAAGTCTGTATGGACACTGAGGGGTCCACATAAGCCACCCTGAAACCTACCATGTTCCTTAACTATGAAACCCAACCAAAGGCAGCTGAACCTTTAGACAAAATTGTTGGTTAGCTGCCCACCTGAGCGTCAGATGGTTCTGCACACACCCATTCTCACCCACACTGTGGCCCACAGACTGATCCCACAGCTGAGTCAGGTAGGCTCTGAACTTTCACAAAGTTCCAGGAAGATGACATTTTTGGGGAAAGCAATGAAAGCTAATTAAAAATTTTGGCTAAATTGTTCCAGTACCACATTTAACCATAAAAATCTTGTAAGAACAATTAGTTCCTGACTTTAGAACATGGTGGCCCACATAATCTGAAACCATGTCTTATCCAAAATATCCATAGTATTTCTCATGCCTTTGTCTTCCTTATCATATCCTCTTCTTCATTTGCTTCATCAAATGCCATTTACCTCTTAAGACCCTACATAAGCCCTACCCTTTCCATGAATCCTTTTCTTCCTGATTTCTCTGACGCCTTATATGCTCGGTGAGCATAACACTTAACTATTGATTGCACACGCATGCTTGCACATACATGCACACATGCGCACAATCTGGCATTGCTAGTTTTACATGGGCTAGTTTATTATTCCAGCTAGTCCATAATCTTGGAGAATAGTCCGCACAGAGCACCAAACATCATTCTAGATAGAAACTGGTCTCAAAAACGACTTAATCACTCCAATAACTTCGGGACTGCCTTCTTTTAGGCGTATTGTTATAAATGGATGTGCTTTACCTAAGACCATATCACTGAGAGTTGAAAGGCAGCCTAGAAATCAGGGGCATAGCAAGAAAAGGGGAAGAGGGAGAGAGCCTTTGATTAAAATGCTTCTTATAGATAACTCATAATGCACACAGCTTATCATTGGATAATAAAAAGTTGACCATTTATAAATTTTGGAATAAAAAGTATCTCATAAGTTGACAATATACTCTACTAAGTTTTTGGGGATTTTTCATCTCAGCATGACCTAAGAGAGTCTATAACTTGCTTGGTGCCAATGAGAACAAGAATCCAGCTTCCAGAGATATAGCTGTCATTAAATAGATTCCCTAAGCCAGGTGTATAGGAAATAGTCAGTCCAAGAAGACACCCCTAGCCTAAAAAACTTAGTATTAGTCAGCTGGATCAAACTTCCCCATAATCCTTAGTTCTGATATTAATAGGCTTTATGGAACATGTCCATTATCATTGCGTGACAAAAGGGCTGTCTTTGGTTTATTTCTCTTTGTAAGTTTAAAAGATGGAGTTCTTATGATTCCAGATAAAAATATAAGGTGACTCTTGCTGAGAGAAATATGAAGCATACTGTTCTCGAGACAGAGGATTAAAATCAATGTTTCTGGTGTTTTTTGAGACTCAAGCATAAAATTATTTGCTTTCCCTACTTTATACAGGGAGGAAAAATCCTCAAGCCTGGATGGAGTTTTCTCCCGTGTCAAACATGGCCTCAAGGACAGTCAGGAGGGAGGCCTGACAGGACAAGGCCGGCATGCTGCAGCAGGCTCTTGAAGGCGGGGGCCACTAGACCTGGTTGAGTGATTTATAGGCGGAAATCTGGCCCAGGGCCGGTAGACCCCGGCTAGAGAGTTCAATATAGGTGCTCGAGAGTTTCGGCAGGTGAATAGGGTGCTCCTCCTTCTGTACAGCACCGAGAGCAAGCTCCTGGCAAAGTGGCAAGGCCCACACGAAGAAGTCTGGAGAATCGGTCCATTCGATTACGACGGCCTGTGCCCAGATAAACAAGAGAGAGAAAAGGGGTCATCACGTCAACTGATTGAAAGCCTAGTGGGCACAGGAAGTGGTTTCGATCCACCCAGATGGAAGACTCCTCAGGTCTGAGAGACGGCAGGCCCTAGGGACGTGCTCCTGCCAGACATCTCAGAAGATCACTTTGGAGAGGCTGTCTCCTTTTTGTTGGGGAGAACATCAATAGTAGCCCCCATGTCAAGAAAGGACCCAGACACAGAACTGAGAAAAGATCCCATGGGATCCCAGAAGAGACCAGTACGCAAACCAAAAGGGAGAACAAACCAAACGTGAAAAGAAGCAAAAGAAAACCCCAATGGGAAAACTAAGACTTAAAAGGTGGGTCAAAAAGAGGACTATTCAAGGTGGTCATAAGCCCTAAAGATTCAGCCGCGAAGGACATGCTTCTATCAGGGTTAGAGTTTTGCATTTTAATGGATGGATCGTCTTCAGAACAACCTGGCTCAGGTGATCACCACTTTTTAAACAGTCTGCTGGCCTCATCCACCACCATTAGGAACCTTGTGGTCATACCTTCTCTCGTTCTGAGGCTCACTAGCCCGGATTCAGTCAGGGGCTGCAGTGCCACTACTCCACTGTTTTCAGTGCCATCTATGCCCCCCAAATAGTCCTTCTGCAGCTGGAACTCAGTCATGTTTTCTATGTAGAACAACAAACCATCTTAGCAATACTAGTGTTGAAAAAGGGCCATGAATTAATTCCAACATATTATTGCCAGGTGAGAAATATATGTGCCATCTAGTCTCTCTCACAGTCACATAAAAATCACTTTTAATCTTTATTTAAGAACAAAAATAACAACTCAAAGAGAGTCCATAAAAATCCTCTAGGTATTAATTTGAGGGCTTAAGGTCCCTATCTGTTAGGAAATTTTACTGTATGATTTAGCTCTAGAAAAAGAGTAAAACTTTAGACAACTCTTAAATACTTCCAAACTTAAAAAAAAATTTCCTACAGATTCTTGTCACGTAACTTGCAGATTCATTTAGGATTTGGATGTCCTCTTTCTATTGTCTGGTTGCCACAGAGATAAAGCAATCTGTCCCAAGGAAAGGAGATGAGTGACAGCAACCTGGCCAGATGGGCAGCGTCACCATCAAGCTAAGTAAGTATCTGAATGGGCCCTGATACTAAGCCATCTGGCTTTTGCTTTTAATTGGAGAACTGTCCCCTCTTATTTGACACTGAGGTGGTTCTTTGTCAGAAAATCTAGGGCAGGGAAAGGCCACACTGCTTTAAAATGCAGATTCTTGGACCTAACCCCATAAATCTCTCTGGATCTAGTGGTAAAAAACTCCTCAGATGAAAGCCAGCACCCTCAGATTTATCTTTCCATGAGAATTATGTGCTTTATGCACATACATCTGTGCTCTTACACCGTGTTACGTTTTGTCCTTCAGAACCCTTTTGAATTTAGCCAGAGCATGTGTACTTCTTTATAATAGAGGGGAAAAAGTCAAACCTTTAGCCCTAATTGTACCAGTATCATAACTGAGATCCTTGTTCTCTGCCCTACAAAGGAGGCTTGATAAAAAGAAGTACACTTCAGGGAGGCTGTCTGAGAATAGCAAACGAGATGGTACTAAATGTACTATTACAGCAGTAACCCAGATATATGAGAACACACCTCACACCTCAGTTATAGTGTGAACAGCTAAGAAAATGCAAAAAGGACCCCCTTTTTGTTTTTGTTAGAATAAGTAGGCATGTTTGTTGGGATTCCAGAACAAAGAGCAGTCCCACTCTACATGCTCCCAGGCCCCAAAGGCTGACGCGAGCTACTCCTCCTAACACACAACACAAAGGGAAAAGGTCCAGATGCCACAGGTTACATGGATCACTATTTTTCACACTTCAGATTACATTAGAGAAAACGTCTCAAAACGTCAAATCTGTAGTGACAAGGTTACGCACACAGTGAAACCCTTGGAGACCAACTCACACTCCTACTTGTGTGATTCCGTGAGGTGCAGGGGGAGGTTAGCAATGGCCTTGTCTGCGTTCGTGAGTCTGTGGTCTCACTCTGAGAGAATGGACCTCAGACTGACAGCCTTCTCACGGCTCCAAGGGCCTTTAGAACCTGAAAGCTGCCCTCACATCTTACTTTCAAGAAGGAAGAGAAGCAGTGGGAAGCAACGTACCGATGCCAGGCCCCCCTTGCTTCTTTTCTTCTAGGATGGCAGCCAGATCTCTGTGCACAGATTTATGCTGCTGGCTGGCCAGTGGCTGCTCCAACTCTGGGCTTTTCACTTTTAAAAGTTGATTTGCCTTCTTGATCTTCTGACTGTACTGCCTCGCCATCATAAAAACCCTGCTTTTTGTCTTATCCGTGGCCTCCATCCCAGGGTCAGGGGGTTCCAGATCTGTTTGGGACAGACGACTGTTAGCCAAGTCATAAGGATTTTCCATGGCGGGTATTTCACTGGCCAGAGAGAGCCGGTTCAGACTCAGAAAGGAGCCCTCTTTGGCAATCAGGTCTTCTTCGAACAGGCAGGTGGCCCGTCTGGCTCTGCTGGGCCTGTCTTTGAGGGACGTGAGGCAAGCAGGGCCCGCAGGCAGCGAGAGCGTGGAGCGCGCCACGTCTCTGCTCAGCTCAGGGGTGCTCTCCGAGCGCAGCCTGTCTTGCACATCATCTTTGCTAACAGGAAATGCCGCAAGGAGCCGGTCTCTAGTTTTGACTTCATTTTTCTTGATGTAATTTTCCAGGTCATTCCAGATTTCGTCTACTTCTTCAGACAGTTTATCAGATATAGACTTATCTCCTAGAGACAAGTTACAGCTGAAGGAGTTATACAGCAAGCTCAAATAGTCGTTCTCTGAGGGTCCCTGGGGGTAAGGCGTTTCATCCTCGCTGAACTGGAGGCTGTCCTGGGAGACGAAGGGCCGCAGGCTGTCGCAGCATGCAAAGTCGGCGTCCAGACCTAAGAAGGTGCTCCTCTTGGAACGCGGCAGGCTGCTGCCTTTGAAATCCGGCGAGGGTGGATCTGGGAGGCCTATAGTGTCATAGATGTTCTCCTCAACCACCTCGAGTTCCTGCGTGCTTTGGTTCGATGCCTCGAGGCCCGTCGGAGCCCCATCTCTCTTTGTGTGCAGAGAGCTCTTCCCGTGGCCAGCCTGCCTCTTTGAGAAGGCCAGCTCAGGGGTGCTCTTGGGGCGAACAGAGTCCCTGACTGATTTGGGGGGAGTGCACTCAGCTTCTTCCCGTTTAGCAACTATTAGTTTTAAGTCCTCATAACTTATGTTGTCATAGACATGATCTATATCATCAATAGTCAACTCTATAGACGACCCAAAGGGAGTCATTCCGTCCTGCCCATCCCTTCTAGAGCCATTCTGCAGTTCTTTTCCGGGGCTGTACTGACAGCCACCACTGTCCCTGACGCTTATTTCAGGAGGGCACGTGTTGCTTTCGCCAGCACTGCTGGCCCGCCTAACAACCCTATGGCCCGAGCCGGTGGCCTCTGTAGGCTCAATCTGTCCCATATGCCAGCTACAAGGGCGACTTGAAGGGCCATCCTCACACAGCCGGGGAGAGTTCAAGTCTGAAGAGGAAAAGGATGGCACGAACATCTGGTAATCGTCTTCGTCATCCTCGTTCTCCTGTGGGGACCGGCGGCTGGGAAACAAGGCTTGCCTGATCTGGTGGTCCGTCCAGAGGTTTCTGATGGCTCCACGCCCTCGAAGTGCACTGATAATGGCAGAACTGCTTGGCTGACTGTTCCTCTGGGCGGGAGATGGCCCTGCTGAAGTCAGCTGGGGAGACCCTTCTTCTCTGGACACCTGAGGGGGACAGAAACAAATCGACTGAATTGTAGCACTGTGGATAAATGACTTTTGATGTTTCCCTGGATTTACACATTGCCTCTGCCACCAGACTATAATATTCTTAAAAAAAATGATAAGTAAAACGATGTCAACTGAATTGAAAAGCACTGGATTTTCCAAAAGGAGCAGAAAGGACTACTATTGATATTTACTTAGAAATAGACTAGGTCATTTGCACATTCTCCAAACTAATTAGTATCAGGGACATATTTTCTGCTCAACACTATACTAACCTATTGGAAATGTTGAGTGAGCAATAATTTTTCATCACTTGCCAGTGAAACTGGGATACAGATTGTTTGCCTTGGAATAGCCAACTATCAGTATTTCTGTTGTCTGTCTGTCTGTGTGCCTGCCTGCCTTCCTTCCTACCTATCTGTCTGCCTTCCTAGCAGGGAGTAAGGAGAAGAGTAGAGAGTGGAAGAATAAAATTTCATCCTGTTTGAAGATAAAAATATCCAATAGTTATTTAATCTTTCGTTCACTTTTTTTTACATAGCCAGACAGTGAGTCATTTGAGGCCTTGGAATAAATCAATACACACACACATACACGGATATATGTATACACGCTCACCTACATATAGAGTAGTATACTTATGGCCCTCGTATTTCTCCTTTACCCTTTAGTATCTCTTTCCTTCCATTTTACTCAGACTGCACTGGTATTGTATTTATAAAATATGGGCACCAGTAACTATGTTGTATAAAATAAAACAAGTTAGTCTTAATAAAATCTCAACTTTTAAAGTGTAACAATATGATTTTGTGAACAGCCAGTAAGTAACACCCTCTCAAGATCAATCATCTCAGAAAACTTTTCAGATGTTTTAAAAAATTAGGAGATCTGAATTGCTTTGCTAATATCAAAGTGTATTTTTAAGGTAATTAAACTTTAAATGAGATAGTAGTACTTTGGAAGCTAAAATTTTACATCAAATAGGTCATAAGGAGAACTGAAGAAGTTCTTAGATTATGAAATAATCAGTGTATGGATGGGCACAACCCAGAAATGTGTGGCTTAGTTACTTCAATTTCCCTGGAGCCATGAGGAACATTCTCTCCTGCCTTGTTTTTCCACATTCTCAGCATTATGGCTATTTAATAATAATATGATAATAGCTATCATTTACGAAGCACTTGCTTTGCTCCAAAAAATGTATTTAAAAAATATATGATCACATTTAATCTTTATAACAATTATACAAATTAGGAAACTTAAGTCTTGGTAAAGTTAACAACTTTTATACCTATAGCCATAGAGCTTATAAGTGGCAGGAATGGATTTGAATTCATGTCTTAATCCACAGTTTATATATGAATTTAGCCGCCCTCCCTCCTTCCCTGTCTATGTACATAAAAATATACATATATACACATCCATATACATCCATACATACATACACACATGGCCTTGGAATACATATTCTGGAAGAAATGTTAGGTAATTATTAAGGACTCTTTCCCATTATAAACTCTTTAATCATCAGGAAATCTGTTCTCCTTGCATTTCATATAGGAGATAGAAATTTACCTCTAAGAAAAAAGTACATGGGTGTTTTATTCCTTTCTTGTTTTCAGATTTTATAAGGTTTAGTTAGCCCCCACATGAAGACTTGGTTTGATCACTATTGCAGAAAGTTCCAAGAAGCCCTTGAAATTGTATCTCTTGGGCTACACAGCGATTCCCCCACCTGCTACTGAGTGAGGCTGGGCTCCATGATCCCAGGCTGGCTGCTTAAGGAGCAGGGCACCTTCCTACCTTCCCCAGTGTGTGTTTATGAAAACAAAGTAGATTAGAAAATCAAAATTTCATCCCATATTTCAGGACAATGAACCAATTAATAAGCTTCAAAATCTTCCAAACAAAAATACGTACTACCTGAAAAAAATCCACATGCCCTAATTTGAAGAAAATCACTTAGAGACCATGTTAATTTTTAGATGTCTCACTGGATGTAACTGAACTATATAGCATTTATTAACATGGTCACTGTGGTCCTGGGCTAAGGAGTTGTGCAAGTGGAATTGTGGGGAGAGATTTTCATAGCCACATCCTTATAGATACAGGACATTAAACAAGAAGCCACAATCAGTGCTCTAAAACTTGTTAATTGAGACAACTGGCTGTATTGGACATGTTTTACCCAGGTCAGGATGTAATACTGATTCCTGAAAAGTAACAAATTTGGATATATACCTTCCAACAGTGCATACTATTTTTATTCCCCTTCTCATAACCTTTTATCAGAGGAAGAAAAAAATGAAACTCAATATGGTGAAGTTTTACTATATGACAAATGATCACACCTCTTAAGCCAACATCAGGACTACATTATTAGAAGGGATCTCTGTGATTGAAGGCTAGTGCTTTGAGGAGAGAGCAATACTCAGGATGCAAGAGCCTTGGTCTTCCTGGGCAGAGGTACCAGGCAACAGGGGGTGGGCAGCACCAGCACAGGGCAGGCACTACATCCTGAGCAACCTTATAGTTTCTGGTGGTTAGATGGGGCAGAGGGGTGAGGTTACTGCCTTGGTTCCAAGAGATGAAGCAGGGGGAGTGAGGTTAGAAGGACAAGTCCTCACTTCAATCTGTTTCAAATGTTAAAGAATTGTTTTCAGTTGGAATATAGGCTGGAGAAGCGATAAAGATATTTAAAAGGTGCCTATAGTAAACATTTCAAAGTAAGAAATGCAATAGTGCTTACCTTTTGGATGTCTTGTGCTGTTTCTGAAAAAGAATTTTTTTTAAAGTTTGAGGATTAAAATCATATCTCATACATATGTAAGCACTCATATTTGTAGGACTTTTAAAACTTATTGTTAATCATTGAAGCCCAAGAGGCTTCTGAGCCCTTTAGACCTAATTTTCAGAAAATGCCTTTCCATTATCCTAGTTTTATATCCTTTACCATATATATATGTAAATAAAACAACCTTACATATATCTGAGTGTTAGGTATCTTCCTTAATCCCTGAGAGCAACTCATGTTAATAAGTTTCAAAGGCGTCTCCCCAAAAATATGTTACCTGAAAAAAATCCACATGCCCTGAGCTACAAAAATCACTTAAACATAAGACTATGCGTCTGTTAATTTCTAAACATTCTACTGGTTTTAATATGAAGATACAGCATTTACCAAAAGGGCCATCTTGTCACTGTGCTGACAAGTGGTGCAGCTGTGGGGAAAGGCGTACCGAGCTGCATCCTCACAGACACCCTTGATTATGGACATCTCATCTTTAAAAACTGTTTAATTACAGAAGCAGATAATGTAAAAATCCCACCCTGTAGAGGTAACCACACTTAGCAGTTGTTCATCTTTCCAGGTACCACACCCAGCACCCTCATCCCACCCCAATGCCAGTTTTTTTGTCTTTAAAATAAAGGTGCAATATGCAAGACTGCATTTCCTGCTAACATCTAGTGGACACTCTTATCAGTAGAAACATACTTCATTCTTTTTGACAACAGAATATTCCATGTAGCGTTCCAGGATATGCTACAACTTATTAAACCACTTCCCACTAGATAGATGGACATATTTTATGTGGTGTTTTAGTACACATGCTGCAAAGAACAGGCACACGTAGATCTATCCATGCATGGTGAGGCTTCTGTATAGGAGGTGTACATTGTGAAATTTACAAAAGTGAAAAAAGTGAAACTGTTGGGTCAAGGGCAAATGCACAGTTTGAATTTAAATGGGCATTACCAAATTTTGCTCCAAAAAGGTTGCAGATATTTACACACCATTAATTTCAGAGTACCTGTTTTCTAATATTTTTAGCCAAGCTCATAGCTTTCTCCCCTTTATTTATTTCAAGTAAATGTATGATTTTTCTGATTACCAGTATAGATGACCTTTAAAAAAATTATTGGCAATTTGTGTTTCTTTTGTGAAACTGCCCAATTATATTCTTTGCCTTTTAAAGAAAGAGTCATTTCTCTCTTGTTTTTGATGTATTGGATTTCTTTATATAACAGGGATATCATCTTTTTATGCCTGTTATCTATGTTGCAAACATTTGGCACTTGGCTGTACATTTTTAAATGGGGCACTATTACTTAAAGAAGTCAATTAAATCTGTCAAACTGTAATACATCTGGTATTCATGTGTATGTATGTGTACGGCTTGTGGTTAAGTTAGCGGACATCAACAAGAATGAAAAAAGAAATTTTAGAACTCACCACTGGTTTTCAAGACTTTATGTGATCTTGAGGAAGGTTCTGGGAGAAAAATAAAGCCAACATATTTGCAAAACCAAATAAAGATTTTTTTCTTTATAAATGAATTATTAGTTTATGGGAAAATTAAGTGCTATTAATTTGCTATCAAATTTAACTAAATCCCCACTGCTTAGAAAGACATTCTTAGCAGCAAGACTTGCACTCCGTCATAACTCCGGGACAGACATTAAGTTGTTCAATCAGGAGCCACCTAACAGACAACTAACCCCACTAACCAGTCATGTAGCTTCCTTTGCTTTAACTACCACCTTTAAGCTGATAATGTTCAGTTTACCTTCTTATGCGACACCCCTGTCCCAAGCCTCAGACCTCAAATGCCAAATGCCAATCGGACCTTTCTCCAACTGGTCCACAGATCCAGCAAACTCCACATGGCTCAATCTCAGGTGCCTAGTGTCCCATATCGGCTCCTTCATTTGTATTCCCTATTTTGAATGTCACTGACATTACCCTTCCCAGTGGTGGGCCAGCATCATTCGGATTTCCCTGTTTCCATCCATCACAGTCTTGTGTGGTCTGAGCAATGTTCCTCCCACCCTCCCCCCAGTCACCACTGCCTTAATCCAGGCCCTCCCAGTCACTTCCGCAGAGGGGCATCATCCTTGGCTCAGTTTCCACGTCAAGCCAGCTTTCCCTTTTTGTGATTTTTTAAAAACTGAAGTATAGTTGATATACAATATTATATTGGTTTCAAGTATACAACATAGTGATTTGACAGTTATTTACATTATTAAATGCTCACCTCCAACTACTGTAGTTCCTATCTGTCAACATAAAAAAATGTTACAGAACTATAGAATATATTCTCTATGCTGTACTTTCATCCCCCAGATTTCTCTTTTTAAAATGCAAATATATCACTGCTTAAAATCCTTCCATACCTTGCAGGATCAAGTTCAAATCCTCCACATGGCTAATGTGACCTTCACGTCTCAGGGCCTCTGCATGTGCTATTCCCGCCCCATCTACCTCTGCACCACCAGGTTCCATCCAGGTCCTGTCCTCTGCTCTGTGAAGCCCTCTCTTTCCTTCCTAGAGGGTTATTGAATCTCTCTCTCCTTTGTCTCTGCACTCATCCTTGCATTTAACGCCTACCACAGCTCCATCATACAGACTGGTATTTATTCACCTTTTTGGACTCTCCCAGGAGGCTATGAACTCCCTGCAAGCAGGAATCATGAACATAACTTATTCTTGCATTCCTAGTCCTTACCCCAGTGCAGGGGGTTAGGTAGGTGTTCAATAAACATGGATTCAAATGAAGAAAGAAATTTGAGGGCTAAGAGAATACTGCATAGGGTCTGGCTCAGTGAATGAGTATTAAAACTTCAGGTTTGAATAGTCTTTTGTATGTGTCATTTACAGGACACAATTTTCCACTAGTGGTAGTAGTGGAGTTTAAGTACCCGTATGCTAATGGTGAAATGCTATGCAAAGCAAAATGTTTAATATTCAGTGGAAAATGGAGAGTTAAGTAGAAAAAGAGTTTTAGAACAAAAGCTCAGAGCCCCATCTTAAGGCAGCCTCAAATGTAATCAAATGGGTGGTGAGCTTGAAAATCAGAGAGAAAATGCCTTTTGTCTGACTGAAAGGGACTTTATTATGCCCTAAAATTATTAAATTTTGATTACAACACCCTATTTACCAGATTTTCTTCTCAGCCGATATGGAGTAGAACCGTCTTTAGAGCCACAGAATGCTTTCGCCTCTCCGGCAGGACTGTAACAGAAGCCTGGGTAATCTGTAAAGATAACCACATGCACCTGTAAGGACGAGGCATCCAGGGATTCCTTGGCAAATGGGTATAACTTGTTTTGGGTATCTATGGATTTATTCTTTCTCATCAGATGTGATAGCATCCCTCCTTCCAAAATTGCCATTGAATATGTATGTTGGGACTTTTCATTTATTATTGGGACTTCTGGGAGTGTGTTAGCAAGTCAAGCTGCCTTTCTTTCTCTCTCTCATACATATACATACGCACGCATGCACGCTGCCTATGTACTCTCCTTTTTCACGCACTGGCAGGAAGAACTTTGACTACTGGCTTTATGTTTCCTAGAAAGTCAGTTTAACTGTGTAAGGAATAATAACTTCCTACCACCACACAGAATCACCTGCAATTCAATGACACCAGAGACTAGAAAATTCCATTCAAATAAAAATCACTGCTAACTTGTTACCAAGTTCCCTGACTGACTGCACGGATGGGCCACAGCAGAGGCCAGTCAAGGTAAAACCACTGGACAACTCAGTCTAAGTAACAGTCTGGTGAGGCGTTTGGGCCGGTGTGGTGGTGGAGGCTGCTCCTATGGAAGTTGTCCTCTAGGGCAGTGGCTCTTAATATTTTTCTAGACATCACATCTTTGAACATTTGATGAATACTTTAGGTTCTTTTGTTGGAAAAGGGATTTTAATTTAATTTCATAGTTTATATCTTTTTGCCTCATGTAAGGGGTACACAGATTTTGGATTAAGAAAATCTGGTCTAATCCTGACATACTGCAGCATATTCAGTGATCCTCTGTACCCTGAAGCCTGAAGGTAAACAATCTGGGGACATAGCTGTACACTGGTCTTCGTTATATTGGAGTTTAGCTCTTTAAAAGTGGCTAAAGTTCGAGAGACTTCTAAGGATTGTAAAGACAACATACATTTCTCCAATGTCAGTGGTAAAGTAATAGAAATGAGGTCATTTGGTTCACTACTCTGTTCACACTAAGCCAAGCTCAAACTCAGTAGGGCAAGTAAGGCTATTTTCCTGGGCGGGGTTGGGCTGCTCTGGCCTCATCCTGGCCCTGGAAGAGTTGAGCCTGGAAACATATTTTACATTGTTAGCTGATATGGAGACCCAGACATGAGGCCAGCCATAAGGTGATTCACAGGTAAGCCAGGTGAAATTGAGGTAGGAACAGGTCAGTGTGTCAGGAAAGATTATACTGTTTGCAGCTCTATTTGTTAAGACAGCGAATGTTCAGCTGTTAGTTTCTTTAAATTGCTTGCAGTTTCATGAACTTAAAGATAAAAATAAAATAGATACAAGTAGAAAATGACAATATAAAGTGTGTTAAGAAAACAAAACTTACGAATGGCATCCATTTCAAGTATTGCTTGCTTGGCCTGAAAGATAGAAAGTGTAGCTGTAATTGTAATAACCTTTTTTTGTTTCGTCTTTAAACTAGCAATCCTTATCGGGTCTTATCCCAGCTGAACAAGTGGTTTTTGAAAAGCTTTAAAAAACTCAATATTTCTTTTAGTGCAGGATATTCAAATGAATCCCCGCAGTGAGCAGTGGGGATGCACAACTGATGCACCAAAGCTAAGCTTACAGCTTCCACCTGGAAAGAAGAGAGGGAAAGAGAAGGGAGGGAGGGGTGGAGGGAGGGAGGAAGACAAAGAAAAGAAAGAGGATGGAGGGGTGGGGAAAGAAGGGAGGGAGGGAGAGAGAGAGAGGTGGGGAAAGGCAAACTTTCCTAAGGTTTCAAAGCCTGGCTGATCCTTGGCATTTGTTGTTCAGTTATTGTAAAATGCAGATTCCTGCTACCCAACCCTGATCTACTGAATCAAAAAATCAAGGAATAGGTTCTGGAATGTATACCACCACCCCTCCCCACGTCACTGGAGCCTTCTAACTATTTTGAGTTGACTGCAAAAAAGACCGCTGGACATTTTTTCTGTTTTCCTCCTGAATGTTCTGTGATTATCATTGGCTAACTCTCCTGGCTCCCCACACCTACCATCTCCTTTGTGTGCCCTAGAATCTCCTGGAGCAGGAGAAACAGCTGTGATGGTGGAGGGAGAGGGTTCTGAAAGATGTGGTTAGTGATCCCAGCCCTGGCACTTAACTAGGTGGGTGCTCTCACATCTAGGAGATGTGTTTCCTCAGCTGTAACATGGGAAGATAGGGCATTCCTTTCAGGGTGACTACTAGGACCGACTAATGGGCACTCAACCTGTTTACCATCCACCCCTCAAAGGGCTGGGCTTGTAACCCTTGCCTCTGGCTCCTCCATATACTTACTTCTTCCCACCTCAGGCTGAACCTTCTGAGTTTAATGCTTTGAGGCTTCTTTTTATTGTTATTACCACCATATACAACTCATGTTTAGGGAAATATAAAAGGATAAATTAATTACGCTACCATGAATTGTCTTGCCTGAAGAATCAAAGAAGAAAAAATTTAGTTTAGGTAGGCTTTCTTGCTCCTTAATGTCATTTGCATAGTAAAGCTTAATCTTCAAACAGTATGCTAAAAAACTCACATTAAAATTATTTAGCTTGGCCTCGACACCCAAAATGCAAGTAACCAGATTAAAAAAATGGATGGAGGATATGACCAGACACTTCTCCAAAGAAAAAATTCAGATGGCCAACAGGCACATGAAAAGATGCTCCACATCGCTAATCATCAGGGAAATGCAAATTAAAACCACAATAAGATCTCACCTCACACCAGGTAGAATGGCCAACATCCAAAAGACACAGAACAACAGATGCTGGCGAGGATGTGGAGAAAGGGGAACCCTGCTGGTGGGAATGTAAATTGGTTCTACCACTGCAGAAAGCAATATGGAGGTTCCTCAAAAAACTAAAAATAGAAACACCATTTGACCCAGGAATTTCACTCCTAGGAATTTACCCAAAGAAAACAAGATCCCAGATTCAAAAAGATATATGCACCCCTATGTTTATTCTACTATATGGAAGCAACCTAAGTATCCATTAGTAGATGAATGGATAAAGAAAATGTGGTACATATACACAATGGAATATTATTCAACTATAAGAAGAAAACAAATCCTACCATTTGTAACAACATGTGTGGAGCTAGAGGGTATTATGCTCAGTGAAATAAGCCAGGTGGAGAAAGACAAGTACCAAATGATTTCAGTCCTTTGAGGAGTATAACAAAGCAAAACTGAAGGAACAAAACAGCAGCACTCATAGATTCCAAGAAGGGACTAGAGGTTACTAAAGGGGAGAGGTCGGGGAGAGCGGTAGGGGTTGGGGGGAGGGAGAAGGGGATTGAGGGGCATTATAATTGGCACACATGGTGTGTGTGAGGGTCACAGGGAAGACAGTGTAGCACAGAGAAGACAAGTAGTGACTCTGTGGCATCTTATTACGCTGATTGACAGTGACTGCAATGGGGTGTAGGGAGGACTTGATAATGTGGGTGAGTGTATTAACCATAATTATGCTCATGTGAAACCTTCAAAAGAATGTATATCAATGATTCCTTAATAAAAAGTAAAAATAAATAATTTTGCTTGTATTTTGCCACAGTCTGTGACACCACAGTAAAAATATTTAGGTGAAGTGGCAATTATATCTAGTTTTAAAAAAAGGGGTGAAAAAAGCCTCAGTGTAGTCACCTTAATTTTAAGAAAACAAATGCTTAGATTTTAATAACACTGATAATTTTTATTATACATTCAGAGTGAGATTACTAGTTGCAATTAATTTCAAACACAAATGTTAGTTCAATTTCTGGGAAGTACACTTACAGAACAATGTGAATATACTAAATGCACAAGTCTCTAATTTCACCTCTGTTCAGAATAAGACAAGGGTTTGTTATACACCATGTATATGAATAGGCAATATGACTACTTTCAAGAAGTTTCCTGGTATCTATAAATTTGACTTGAGGAACTCATTTTTTTTTTCCTGTCTTGGTCTTTAATTTGAAAAAGTACTATTCCCACATTTTCCACTAGGAGTCAGCCAGTGACCATTAATGAATTAAAGGAATGGGAGGAGGTTGGAACTCCACTGATGAATTTCCAACAGCTGTGTTAGCATTATTAGGTCAGGGATACATACGTTTTTTGATGTTTAAAAAATTTCCCATTATGTGCTTTTTTTATTTAATAGAAATAAATCTATTTTGAAAGCTTTAAGAAAAAAATTTAATAAATACTCAAAGTTCAACTGAGTAATAATCCTGCTTAAATAGAAAATTTTTATAATTGTACAAGTAGATAAAGTGTATTATATGAGTGTGTTTTCATTGCCACTGGGAACAGTGTGGTTAAGACTTGCTCTTTGGAGCAGAGCTGGGTTTGAGTCTTGACTCAGTCATGTACCAGCTGGAAGAACGTCTGTGATTTACTTAACATCTCTGTGACTCTTTTATTTCTCTAGGATGGGAAGAATAAGACCTTCCTCATAACGTGTTTGGTTGAGGTTGAAATAAGAATATAAATGACTTAGTACCATGTATGTGTACTCAAGAAGTTGTAGCTAAAACAGAAATGTTTAGATTCTAAAAGGATCAAGAACTTGGGTAAAAAAGTACAATTCTGTTGTGACTCTACTAACCATTTTAACACATAAAGGGAGGACTGCCTGGAACATACACATCTAGTGTGGGAGAAAGAGGACAGGTAGGCAAGCCAGTCTTGTCTTATAATGGCCTATAATTACCCTTCAGAATCCCTTTGGCAGTTTTGATTTTCCCAGTAGACAGTTAAACAATAGGTGGTGCGTATCAGAGACGCTTGGCCATTGCTCAGAAGGGCATTCCAGGGCGCAGGGCCAGCAACCCAGTGACTAACCACGAAGAAAACTCAGTCGGCTCTCTGCATGAGCTACCTCACATGTTGTAACAGCCCAATGAAGTGAGACTCATGCCAAAGTCAAAGCTCACACCTGTGCACATTCATTTCCTGGGTACAAGATCATTACTGACAGCCCCTGAGAACAAGCTTTAAGTGCTTCTCAAAATACAAAAGATAGACTCTCTCCTTCCTCAGATATCTCTTCTTATTCCCCACCAGTTCTGCTCTCATGACCGTTACCCCATTTTCTGCTCCACTTCACCCCTCTTCCCCGGAGCATGAACCATTTCACCACTCGTGTGGATAATCCAATCTTCACCGGCACCCTAGTTCCCAGCTGCTTTATTTCTGCTAACCTTTTCCTGCACTCCTGAATAGCAACATGCAATCTTAGTCGACCCCAGAACCTTATCATCACCAGGAACTGCCCTGCCTTGAAGGCAGGACTCCAAAGTCTCTTTTTCAACTACAGATCCGTTTCCATCTCCCCTCCTTTGACTTTGGCTGAACCAGGTCTCTGACTTTATGAGACCAGCAATCCTTCAACCCGTGCCCATTTTCCCAGTTGCTGTTGCTCTCCACTCAGCCTGGAAATCATGCTCAATCACCACAACTATGTGCAGATTAGCACGTTGTCTCCCCTCATCCTGTTAACCTTCCCCCTCACCGACCCTGCCGACCCCCAGCCATGGGGAACCCACATGTGCCATGGTTCCTCCACAAGAGTTTCCAAGTTGCTGAGCAGATTTTAAAATGACTTCAATACACTGAATCATGGTGGCCAGCTTCATTTGGTCTTGCATGCCTTTTGCAAACGATTTCAGTTATCCCACCGACTTGACTCTCTGGCCCATTTTCTTTAGCAAGTATTCTCAATCTCCTCACTTTTGCTCAGGAACCCACCCCGTCTCAGCACTGACATGACCACCAACTTCAGTGAAATCAAAGTCAACCTTCCCTCAAGCCTCTCTCGAAGTTTCTCCAGCGTGGGAAGATGTTTCTGACCCTTTCCAAGACTGCCCTCTATCTGCGTCCTTGGGCCCACACCCCACTGTGCAGGGCCATATTCCACCCAGCACCCCTCCCCTTATCTGTATCTCCTGCCTTCCATTCTCCTTCCTCTCAGCCTAGTTGTGTCCATGGATTTCTTCACTCACACTGTGCCTTGCTTCACCTCGCATGTCCTCAAACCACCATCTTCTTTTGTCTTTTCTGAACTTGTTAAAAAAGTCTACACCCAGTCCATCTGTTCTTACCCCCCCACCTCCCTTTCTCTTCAACTCACTGCAATTTACCCCTTTGTTTCTTGGTTGTCAAATCTAATATCTACCTTTCTGTTTGAATTGGGTTTGACCTCCGCAGCATTTGTGCCTGCTGCTCCACACCCTGTCTTTGAGATTCTTTCCTCCTTTGTTACCCCACCTTTCTCCTCCAGCTTTCTTACCACCTCCTGGGCTGCTCTCCAGGTCCCCACCCCTCTCACAGATTACTTAGATGCTCAGGTTCCCCAGGGGGCTTCTTTCTTTTTACACATTTTTATGGGCTAGCCTATCAAATCTCAGGGCTTCGGTTTCAGTGTGTGTGGGGAGAGCCTCCAGATCCTCAGCTTCCGAGACGGGAACTCCCACCTGTGCTGTACCCCCACCCCCCTCCACCACCTGAGCACAGAGGACCCCCTCTCACTCCGCCCTGACCAGTTAGTCCCCTTCGTAGCCTATCCTGCAGCTCACAGCCCCGTCCTCCTGGCCCAGCTCCTGACTCATCCTTGACTCACTGCTCTCTCTCCTCCTGCACTTGGTGGGTAAATCCTGTTCCCTCTGCCTCCAAGACGGGCTTCACTTCTGCTGCCCCCTCTCTGTTGCAGCGGCTCCCTGCAAGTACCCCTTAACTCTTTCCCAGAGTATTATGGTAACGTGCTAACTTTTCTCCTGCCTCCAGCCTCACTCCTCCAAGTGATCTGTCACACTGTTCCCAAAGTTACACTCTCAGAACACGGGGCAGGCCATCCCATCCCCTTCCTCCAAAACCTTCAGCAGTCTCCCACTGCTAGTAGTGCCCGGACCCCGAGTGTGCCTTCAAAGACCTTCTGAGCCCCAATGATGGCCTTCCACCTCTCCACCCTCACCTACTACTCATCTGAGGACTCAGCCCTTCCATCTAGAGTCTGTGTGCCATGTACTCCGAGCACCCACCTGCTCACCTCTCTCTGTTTCTGTTTACGCTGTTCCCTCAGCTAGGTTTTCCTCTCCCTTTCCCCTACTTCCTAAAAATGTTCCCCATCCTTCAAGACTGGGGTAAAAGGCATTCTCCCTCCTCTCGGCCCAACTGCAACTGAACACTTTATCCTTCCACAACCTGGCATATGCCTCTGTTAATTCATTATGTTTGGCAAACAGCTTCTGGCTTACATGGCTCACTCCCTCATCTACAAACTCCTTCGCAGCTGAGCCTGTGTCCTATTTCCCCAGTGTTCCCCCAAAACCCAAGCTAGCTCAAGTCCCCAGCGGGTGCTCAGTGCACCTTCAAATAATTCTCATAACCCTATTTTGTATGAATTGTCTAGAAATTTTCTTAAAGTCTTTTCCTTGTATTTTCTTCTTTTAAGGTCCAAAAGAAAATACAACAATTAAATTAAATTTAAAAAGCCCTCCACGGAGTTTCCCTACAATTGTGGGGAGATTGTGAATCTTCAATGTACATGGCTGGTTTAATTGACCCCATATGTATCCCATTTCTCATTTTTCGTCATCTTGAAATTGAACATTTACGGCTGGCAGGCTGCCCCCCTAGGACCTGAATTCCCTTGCATTTTCCTGTTTCTTGACCTCTTCGTCTTACCTTAGCAGGAATCTTTGCTGCGTGGTTCTCTAAGATCAGTCTCTTCAGGTGCAGAACCCATAGGCGTTTGTCTTGCTGGGATTTAGCCTAATGGAAGGAGGTTTGGACAGTCAGACAACTCACACCTCCACCATGCACAAGATTCAGATGGTCCTGTAGCCCTCTGATAAGATGGGAAACACACTGCATGGCCAGAAAGCTCTGGAAAGGCCGCCTGGTGCCCGGTGCCCATCCTCTACCAGATGAGCCTCACAGGAGGCGAGCCCGTGTTACCTGAACTGTGTGCTGCAGCTTGGCGTTCTTGTAGTGGAAGACACTGAAGCTGAGCGGCTCCTTTGGAATCATCTCCACGAGCATGAGGTTGCCACACTGAGCAGGAGACAGAGAGGGTGAGGCTCGCTTGGAAGAGAAAGGAACCAGCCACTCACGTCCTTGCCTGTGACCAACATGCAGACCTACCAGGATGTGAGCTTTGTATGTAAACGTGTCATCTCTCTTCTTTGTGATGAGAAGCAGCTTGTCAAAGAGGAAGAGCGTCCGCTCGTTCTTGGCCCGCTGGATGCGGAAGGTGCCTTCAAGCACCAGCTCTCCGTAGCTGGTCAGGTCTGGCCCCTTCCAGTTAGTGAGCAAGCTCTGTATCTCCTGAAGAAAGGAATGCGGCATGTGACTGAACAGGAGGTGGGAAGGAAGGCAGTGAGTACAAGGCGGCTCATCTGCTGAGCTTCAAGAATGGTGTCTAAGTCTCTCCAGCAGGTTTTAATGCATCTAATAGCATCTAATGATACATGACAAAAATACACATGAATGGGTGTCACTTGAGGGTTATTCCAAATGAATCAAGTTGTTAGTTGACAAGTCACCAAACACTTGTTTCTATTCCTTGATAATCCCTCTACGAGGGCTGGTGGCAGCAGCTGTGTCTTTCAACAGCTTCGTAAAGAGGCCACTGGCATCTGACCTTCTCAGATGGGCCTCCATCCCTAGACTTTCCGACCCTCTAGTCTCTGGACAAAAACCTTCAGAGCTATTGATTTGGAAAGACTGCCTTCAGAAACTGAAGTCTACACCACAGACAAATAACTCAAAACTAAAGCCTATGTAAAAGCACACAAGATACAGCTTCTCAGAAACTTCCTGATAGTAATCCCATACAGTTGGGGAAGAAAGAAAAGGAGATTGATAAATAAACATTGATAACATGAATTTGAAGTTTCTTTGGGATTTATATTACACCCATATCAACACTTTTAAAGGAAGCTGATTTTATTATTTTGAAAAATGAAAAATGAAAAATATTCACAAACAGCATTTTATTAAGTAGCCCATAAAAACCCAAAACTTCATTGATTGAAAGTATAAATGGAAATGGAGATTAAATCTGAGCCAGAGCCTGACTCAGCAGTGTCTTCAGAATGCTAAACAGACCCAGAAGCTATGAGAAACAAGACATTTAGCCATTTCAGACATTATGTGTACAAAACACTTGAATGATGAGGCATTAAACTTTTCTTACTGCTATAAAAACAGACATGGTCTTGAAGATCAGAATGTGGCCTTCCTTTGATTTTTGATAGTCAGTTGCATCACACTACACTCTGGCTGCCTACAGATGAAACCTAGAGTTTTGTTTGGACTAAATAATGTATCTTTTTTTCTGAATTGGGCACAGGTATTCAGCATAGCATGGAGTCACTCTGGGCTTTTATTTCTTACTCCAGGGATACCCAGAAACCTGTGACCAGCCTCTGAGCCTACATAACTTTCTGTTTAAAAATAGTACATCATCTGAGGTGTCCAGGACATGATCACTGGCTCATGACGTTCCCAGGGATTTGGGGCTGAAACTGTTGGTGATGGAAAGGACCTTAGCAAATCTGTCTGATGTTAAAAGTGAGGAAGCCAAAATGAACTGGCGAGGGCTCATTCTTAGTGAAACTGCAAAGGACCTGGTCCAACACTTAGTCCTTTTTCCTGTGCGTCCCCTGCCCCATTAGCGCACACATGCCACCTCCTGATTTGGCATTAACTAGTGAGAGAGGAATGGAGGCTTAAAACCATTTTAACAGCTTGGAGAAAGTTGCTTTCAACAAGAATTAATTACTTGAAATTAACATAAGATAAGGCCTTGGGAGACTCATATTTTTAATATGGGTCATTGAAGGGGTTATGAGCTAATTATGAGTTTTAAGGCACCAGGTAACTTTCTGTTAGATACCACATTATACAATGATCAGTATTTTTGGTGTCTTGATCTTTCTTCAGGGAGAGCTGTGATGAAGACGGTGGATGAAGCACAGTACTGGAGCAGCCTTAATGGTGAATTTGGAAAATGACAATGAGGGGCCACCGCCTAGGGAGCTCACCTGCAGCCGGACCGCGTGCTCGTGTTTCCTCTTCATGTCGTTGATGTGCCAGGCTACTCGCTGCATCGTGTCGATAGCATCAAGCACCACATCATAGCCTTCTGTGTCCTTGTCAAGGTGATTTTCGATTTCCTTAAAACAAAAACAAAAACAAAAACAAAAACCTAGTTATTTTCATCCTTTTTTTTCTTATGTAGCCAGTGAAACATATGCACCTCTCTCTCTGATTAGTTCTTCGTATTTTATTTTCCTATTTATTTACACACCACCACCATTCCTTAAAATTTTTAGATAGCTTACCAGAAATACCTGCAACAGAATGGTAAAATAGGAATAAAAAAGGAGCTAGGAAAAATAGAAGTAGATTAGAATTTCATGACAAGGAGGATAAGAAAAAACGTATACATACACAGGCCATTAAGTCTCACAGAGATAGATATTACAATTATAATAAATATGAGAGGTGATACTACAGTTGGAGATTTCTGAGCTTCCTGGTGGCCAGTGTAATATAGATTTCAGTAACACAGTTCTCACTCTTAAAAGATAGAGAATATCCTTTCTCCCAGAGGAAATAAAATGTCTCATACAGCATTTAATATGTAAAAGACTCAAAAACGTAGTGGACATTATCTTTAAAAAATACTTCCATAACAAGTGCATTTTCATGCAGGCAAGGCCTTAAAGTCCACAGGAAGTTCACTAAAGACAATCCTTTAGAGTTTTGGCATAGATCTCATGGGTCAAGTACTTACTCGCTGACGGTCAGCACTTAGCTTAGCACTCGGGTTCCCTGATCCCAGGGACATAAGGAAGGGACATGGTCTCTGTTCTAATATTTCCAGCACGTAAAATACGTAAGTCCCCGGAATCCTCAAGAGTCTATGGATAGGGACGATTACATTATTTCTTTAATTCTATGTACTCAACAGTGTCTGTCAGAGAGCTGGGTGGCCAATAATGCTTATTAAATTGAAGGTGTATCTTCTTAAAACAATAACAGAAGTCCTATATAAATATCTAAGATAGTAAGATGGTACTGTAGTCCATTAGATCATTTCTATGACATTTATCACACACAATCATTAAGTTAAAGGATGGAGGTTGAATCTTATGGTGCAACATAAGATTAGGTCCATTATTTTATAGTCAGACTTTTTAAATCTTTGTTTACTTTTACTGAGTACTCACATTCTCCATCTAGCTAGAAATTAGAAAGAAATTTACGTTTTCTTTCCACACTCAGACTCAGCTGTTAAAAGCGTCCTATGAAACTGTACCACTGAACTAACAATTCCCAGGTAAGCTCAAGCTCAACAGCAAATTTAAAAAAGCAGTAAGTTCTTCCTCTAGTTTAGAAGCAGTCCTGTTCATCAGCAGACGGGAGGACAGAGTGTGTTCTTAGGGCATCTTCACGGATGGCTACACAACTTTGAAGTGATGTGAACGACACAGGAAGAACACTCTGCATCAGCTGTGAAGCAGAAATACTTCAAAAGCAACCAGAAGTTGGTTTTCAATTAATCTAACCACTGTTCTTCCATTTTTTCCTTCATTCCCAGTTGCTAGGGACCGAATGTTTGTGTTCCCCTCAAATTCATATGATGGAATCCGAAACCCCATGGTGCTGGTATTTGGAGGCGGGGCCTTTGGGAGGTAATCAGGTCATGAGGGTGGAGCCTCATGAATAGGAGGAGGGTCCTTACAAAAGAGACCCCAGAGAGCTCTCTGGCCTTCTTCCACCACCTAAGGAAGCAAGAGTCTGTAACCCAGAAGAGGGCCCTCACTAGTGCCTGACCATGCAGGGACCCTGATCTCAGATGTCCACCCTCCAGAACTGTGACAAATAAATGTTTATTGTTTAAGCCACCCAGTCTGTGGCACTTGGTTATAGCAGCCTGAACCAAGACACCAGCTCTTAATTTGAGTGTAAGGGCTGTTTTTCCTATCAATTATGTTTTTGTAAGGATCTTGACTTGTTATATGTGACATGCATAAGTAACTGTGATCTTAGACTTTTCTTTTCGCTGACAGCCACCTTACTGTCTATAAGGCCACACTTAGAGATTAGTGAGACACACTAATCTCAGATGCCATACTAGCAGAGCACAGCAGAGATCTATTTTGGGACAGGTATTATTTAAGAATTATTTGGGCACTGAATTAGAAAATTAATCCTACTAATCTAAGAAGTCATTAGTATCAATTTAACAATTAAAGCAATAACCCTGATACAGCCTCATGGAACGCAAGATTCTCCAAAGATGAGTCACCCCAGGCAAAAAGACAAAGCTGAGAAATTTCTGGTAAAGTTAAACCATAAGAATTCTTCAAATTTTAAATGTGTGTCAAGTGAGCAACCTTGGAATGATTATCCAAGTTCAAAACCTAAAATCATTTAAAAAGAGATACATACAAATTGCAGGCATGTTGATACGGATAAGAACTCTGGATTAAAATATGCTTAAGATTTCTAATGTAGCATAAAAACAATAAAATGAAAATGATAGCTTACTTTTATCTGCAGTCTGTGAGCCACACTGGACGTGGACAATTCACAGGATTTGCCCCAGATGCTGGCCCCTAACCACTGTACCATCCTGTCTTTCTCATATTGCAAGGGCAATCTGATCCTACTTATAGAATGAAAATTACTCTCAATGGAATATTCTTCCCCCCATTTTTATCAACTTTCTTAGAGGATAAGAAATGAGAATATGAGAGCTATCTCTATCTTTGTTTCTAAAGCCTCCTTAAATTTTGTACAAATAATGGGAAATGATATAAAGAAAAGATACCCTGAAGTGATGCTGAGCTGAGCTCAGAGATCATTCATCACACCGCTATCTGTCTTCTCCCTTTTCAGTCCCTTTTCTTTGCTCGTACAAAAGAAAGTCTATGACAAACAGCTCCCCTTCCTAACTGACTCTAGGCTCATGGAAATAGAATAAAACATAAAAAATCTGTTTTTCATTAAGATGACAGCTTCCTGCCTGAAATTTCACTGCCCAGAATGAGGTACTCTTAAGCCCTATCATGATCAGAGCTAAAATCAATCTTTTTACTTGGCTGCAGTCAATGGGGCTTCAGGCCTAGAATATAAATATCTCTAATTCCTCAAAGCAGATTAGTCAGTTGTAAAGTATGAGTGTATAAAACGTTTTCATATGTCCACAGCCTTTTTGGATATATTTTTTCCCCCTAATCTTAATATATACACATAAAATCCCCATTCCCTGGAAAGTCCTCATGCGCAGACAGAAACTTACATGCAAAAGGAGATGATACTTGAGAATCCGCTGAACTGGTTTCAAGAGATAGGATCCCAGTGGCAGTGAGTGTTTCAAAGTTTCCTGACGCTCCCTGAAGAATTTGGCCAGCATCTTGTTCCTCATGCACTCTGTGAGCACAGCCACTGATCTGCAAGCAGAATAAACATTTGTATCTAAATTGCCATGCTTATCATGGGCATTTAAGTTTTAAGGACCAGTGTTAAGTGTAAATGCCCTTCAACAGGTAGGATAGTGCCACTCAAAGCTAGACTAAAATGCCTCTGGGTAAACTGGAGAAACGGTCTCTCTGGGTGCAAGAACGAGAAAAGGCACCGGAAGAAAGGCAGCGGTACCTGGACCTCCACCTCCTAGCAGCAAGCTCTTTACTTCCAGGAGATGCAGCCCCCTGGCAGCACACGTGCTTGGCAAAGGGGATGTGAGCAGGAGTCAGCCCCGCACTGCCTCCTAGCTGGGTGTCTGCTGAGTACTCAAACCGCACAGGTTAGACCGCAAGAAGGCGGCACCTTTGTATTAAGCAAAAGGAGTTCCTTCTTCACAGCAGATCCAGCCCATGCTGGGCACTTGTCACCCGCTCTGCTGGTCGCCCTTGTATAACACACAAACTGTGTGACCTTACGTGTAGGTCATTGGAGACCTCATCCCATGGGTTAACTTCCTTTTGAGAATCTTTGAACAGATCCCTCTGTCCACCTCTAACCGGCTTTCCTCATTCTACAGACAGCTTCTGAAGCAGCTACTTAACCTCACCTCTTAAGGAGCATTACCTCAGCAAAAGTATTAGAAAAGCAGGTCAGGATTCTTCTTCCATCCCAGCTCCCCCAAAGGTAACAGGTATAGCCCCCAAACATCCTAGGGGAATGGTTCAAACAACGTTCACATCTTATATGTAAAGCTGGCTAGTGAGCTTGTGGACTCACTCACTCATACATGTAAATTAAAATCTTATGTCTCATAATTTAGAAGGAAACACGTGGAAGTAATTTCAGCCTTTCTCCCCAAGTGAGTAATGTGTTTTCAGGATTAATTTAGAAAATCAGATAGAGCCAAACAACAAAATAAGACTCCTTGAAAGGTAATGAAATGGAGGTCTCCTAATTAAAGTGATTAGGATCCTTTCTGTGCCCATATGCTTCGAGAAATACCTAGTCAAATGGGTTTATTTCCCCCACATATGGAGATTTCAAAACTGTTCATCATGTAGCCTAGAGAATCTTCTAAGGCTCTTCAGAGTCAGGACCAGCTGCCCAGGAGCCCCTTGGCCCTCTGAGGGTTTGAGCACCTGCCTGAGGATAAGGCTCCTGCAGCACACTGAACCCGGAGCACGCTGAGCTCTCGATCCAGGGCACGGGAGACATCTGAGGACCATGACCCGAGGGTGCTGGGCCCCTCCCTGGGGGAGGGAGGAGGCGCTCTTTCTCTTCACAGCGAAATCACTGGGGTGTGACTGGTATGAAGAAGGTGGCACCTGTCAAGGTGTGCTAGTGACAGTTACTATCACCAGCCTGGATCCAAAGTGGGAAGAAAAGTTGTCAGATGGGCTTAAACACCTGGCACTCTTGGCGTGTTAAGGTGGGAAAGGAAACCTCGGGCCTCAGAGAGCAAACTGGACACAAGGGGACGAGAGGAAATATTTTTCTATGAAAACCACACTATCGGGCAAGAAGTGGACATGCCTGCTTCACTGAGAATGCCTTTTGAGCATCTATTCACTAGTATGTTTCTTTCCTTTTTGAATATCAGACTCAAAATTAAAAACACTTCCTCTAGGAAAATGTCCTTACCTCTCCTCCCTGGGACTTGTTACTCCTTAACTGTACATATCCTTGGCTTCTTTTACACATTACTGAGTCCTTTCTACATTACTTGGTATTTATTGATTTGATCTTCCCTGACACAATTTTGCTAATGCATTTAGTTGAACTCTGACCTTCAAAAGAATATGAAATTGCTAGAAGGCAAAGAATATTAGCTCCTATTTCCTGCCAACACACACAGCTTAGAACCATGTTCCATCAGTGCAAGCCTCTTAAAAATTTTCTTGCACAAATGATTTTGCCTGTCCCTTGACCCTGAAACAGCCTAAAAGGATGCCTTTAGTTTGTACTCTCCTTTTTTATTACTAAGTCCGAAAAATCTTAACTTCCAAAATAGCAAAATCAGAAATTATTTCTTCAAATGACATGTTTATACTGAAATTTGCACAGACACAATTGCCCAGACAAGCCCCTCTAGCATCTCAGATTCTGATAATTGGGTCCAGAACTTGGCTGACGCCTCAGAGTCTGAATGTTTTTTCTTTCCCCCAGGAAGACACGTAGAGGAGAAGTTGAGGGCCGGTTCTGAGATTTCTCTGAGTTAGGGATGGGGCAATGCTGCTTTTTTGCTTAAAGTTCATGTGTTTTAGTTGGGGGCATCTTATAATTTCCTGATTATCTTCAGCATATAGGTGGAAACAAATACATTAGGAGAGCATTGCTTAAGTGAAACTATTAACTCTGGGTGGGTCTGTAAAGGACATGGTGATAAATGTGCTAATCTGCATGTGCCTTTGTTTTTTGTTTCTAGGGAAACCTGGGAAAGATATGGCTGGCCACCGACCAAACAGCCACAGCACAATATATCCTGACCAATATTTAGAGGATGAGACTAAAATCCTCCAGTGGAAATGATTTTGCCATCAGCAAGTCTGAGTCCCTGGCCTCGTGCCCCTTAATCCTTTGGCCATCTGGATTCCCCCAAACTGGCTTTTTGGGGCCACTCACACACAGCGGGTGGGGAACATGTGTTCTGCTTTATAGTCACAGCCCTAGAGGCTCAGCCTGCTGGCTTCTCTTCTGGGTGGATCGCACTGCCCTCTCTACTCTTGGGGATATGTTTCTACCAAGACTGCTACAGAGCATGTAAAACCTCCAGAGCTCTCATCTTCCTGGCTGGTCCCGGAGGTTCCAACTTAGGTCCTGCTGATTGTGGGAAAGCAGATGGTACAAAGGCACAGGGGCAGGGAGGATCACAAAGCTTCAGAGACATTACAAGGACAGAGTTGCATGAGGTCTGAGGTGAGAGACACCTCAGTTCACATCCTAGCTGGGCGCCACACTCATCAGCTATTGGACCCTTGAACGTCAGTACACACGTCGGAGCTTCGGTTACTTTATTCATACAGTGGGGATGTGGCAGGGGAGGCAATAAACTAGCATTGTTGAGAACCTACTATGTGCCTGGCACGGAGATGGATGTTCTCCTTTCCTTTAATCCCTCAGCATCTCTGGATTGCTGTGAAAGTTAAATTCAACAACATTCTGTTTTTATAGCATTTAACAAAGTGGTTAAGGATCAGTAAGTGCTCGAAAAATGTCTTCTGCAGAAAAAGGAGATTCCAACAGTGAGACTGTGGCCTTAGGCTTGGCTCCCTTACTGACTGAGGTGGTCAGTGTATTGTCAGGATACTATTTTTGGATACAGTTTAGGATACTGTATTGTGCTCCATCACTCACTTCCTGCCCTGGCTCCCAGTGAAAACCAAACTGGAGCCACGGTCCAGGCGAGACAATGAGGCCTCTTCTCACATGAGCTTATCATGACCTTCCCTTTTTCTAAACTCCATAAAATGTACATAATTCACGGGACTTACATAGCAAAAAAGAACATATTTTATCCCCAGTGAGATTACAAAAATTCATTCGCAGTGCTTCCCAAATTCTTAAAAATATGTCACACATACAAAAGGGATAACAGACCAGAAATTACAGCCAAACACAACTGGTTTGCTTCGTTTCTCACCTACCAGTCTTTTTGGTCTCTTTCAAGTTCTTTCCTAATTTTTCCACTGCTGGCTCTGCTGGGAGTCCCAGAGCCCAAATGGATCAATATCTGCACCCACCCCCCAACCCCCGTCATTCATTCTCAGCAGGCTCTGCATTTTCTCTGCAGCATTCAGCACAATGCCAGGGACAAAACGCCCAACACCGACACACAGAGGCCTCACTTGAAACAATAAGGATGAGAACAAAGTGCTCCTGCACATGCGCAGTGCATACCTTGGATAGTTAGTGCAGTACTGGGTATAAATGTGGAACTCTTCACTCTGCAAGGAAACAGAAGAGACTGTCATAGGCAGAGAAGCACCGGCATCACCATTCACTTAAAAACAATAAAGAGAAATGGCATTTATACCTTTGAATTTGTTTCTCTAATCACACGGGCCTGTCTCCTGAGCCCAGGGCAAACATCTAAGCCAAAACATCTCCCTGTTTTATACCTAGAATCCACATACACGTAAACTCATTTCAGTTCAATAAACCCTTATTGAGCATCTATTGTGTTTAGGTGAATCTGAAGGCAAACTGGAACAAGAGGAAAAGAAGGTTTCTGCTCCAGTGCTCATAGTCCTGTGGTGGGTTTGCAGTGCACAGAAACATAAAAAGGTAGTTTAAATATTATGTACGTGTTGGAAATATGCACAGGGCATGAGAAAGCTGCTATCTCCTTTCAAGCCCTCGTGTATGCAGTCATCTCTGCCCACCGTCTCCCCCACGTTTTTCATAGGGCCACTATGCATCCTTCGACACTGAGCTTAGGCTTCATTCCTCCAAAGAGCCTTCCTTGAGCTGTCTGGCTGAGCCAACTGCCCCTACTCAGGGACACAACACCCAAATGTCTGTAGCGTTTATCAAATGACAGTGATACTTTCTGTGTATCTGTCTGTCTCCCACTCCAGGCTGTGGGTTACTGCAGGGAAGGCAACATACTGTGTTCGTTTGGCATATAATATTTGTTGAACTACTAAATACTCCTGTCACATACTAAACTAAAAACTGTATTTCAGATCAGGATCCCCGTCTCATCTGTACATACCATGCACAGCAGCAAAGCCTCAAATGCACTGAATGTTTCACTAACCAATGTAGAGTCTTGCCTTTTGCTCTGATCATATTCCCAGTTCCCAGGTGTTCTCAGTCTTTCAGTCCCAAAGTTATCAAATTCTTCTTGCTCTTCAAAGTTACTTTTTTCAAAGGGTAAAACCGTGACCTCCATTCAAATGTAAAATGAACACTGTCATTTTATTTAACCTATTCCCAAAGATTTCGTGTAACCTTTCAATCAATGAGGAAAGCAGTAAGTAAGATACTATAGCTGGATTCAAGGGGAAATAAAAGGATCATACTTTTAGGTCGAAGGAGGATGCCAAGATGAATTGACAAATAGACACAAAACTGCTTCTTCATACAGGGATGAGTGGGTAAAGAAATCAAGCATCCCTCTATGGGACGGTATTCATTTGCATGTCTGTGGTCAAGAATCTTTTACACTGCTATCAGTTATCTACAATTTAGGGAGTTGTAAAAGAGTTCAAAGGCAACAACAAAAGGTACAGAGACCATGCTGAATCATGTAATTTAGAGGGGTAAATTGGAAAATACTTATTAACTCTTCTATTGAAGGTACCCAGTAATCTTTTCAGTTGATTTCAAAGTCATTCACAAATTTCCCTACACTGCCAAGGGAAAGAGGTAGTTAAGGGGCAGAAGCTAGGTTGTTAAACTTTTGACAGTAATTAAGTCAGAATAAGGAATTCAAGGCCAATCAATTGCTAGCTCTTGGAAACTCTAAAATGGAATCACATCATGAAAAAGAGCCTCAGGCTATTTGGTTCGTGCCCCACATTCTGCTCTTCTTACTTTCTTTTACTTCTTAAAACCATTTCTTGCTGGATTCACATGTGACTCCAAGATGGTGTCTTTTTGGGGATAACTTCAATGTTTTTATTAGTGTTTTTTCCCCTGAATTTTAAGGCATTCCTACTTGGAATCCTTTTTGTTAAACTCAACCAGCATTAGATTTAATTTTTTTTAGAAGGTTTCAAGCATATATGAAAGTAGGGAGGATGGTGTCATGAATCACCAGCCCCAATATTAACTCATTACCAATATCCACCCATTCGCCTGCTTTCCTGTCACTCTGAAGCAAACTGTAGACATCACATCACTTCACCTGTAAGTGTTTTAGTGTGTATCTCTAATAATACAAGAACTCTTAAAAAGAAGCATCACCACAATGCCTCTATGATATTTCAATAATTCCATCATAGTATGAAGTTTCCCTAGTCATTATTCATATTTCCTATTTTCTTAATTTTTTCTTTTTTAAAAAAAGTTTGCCTGTTTGATTGGAATCCAAATAATATCTCCACACAGCAACTAGCTAAAATCTCTTAAGACTCTTCTAATCTACAAATCCCCCCTCTATCTTTTCTTCCCTTGCAATTTAGCTGAAGAAACCAGATGTTTTGTCCTGCAGTTCCCCATAGTTCCAACTCTGCTGATTACACCCCGATGGCTTCCTTTAATGTCCCCTGCCTCCTGCTCTTTTGGTGGTTCAGTGAAGGCTTGAACAGATTTAGGTTCCATAATTTGGCATGAATACATCATAATTGCATTGTATTTCCATCAGGAGGCACATAATGTCTGGCTGTCTTTCCTTTTGTGATGTTAACAACCATTGGTGATAATTGCTTAGACCTATTAACTCGTTAGGGGGTACAAAATGTGGATAATTCTAACTCTACCATTCCTTCTTCATTTATTAGCCAGATTCTTTCCAAAGAAGAACTTGCCTGTATTAACCATTTGTTGCCCTACAGTCTGGTTTCCATGGGAAAGGCAGGATAAATGCTTGATTGTTTTCCTTAATTTTCAAAACAATGCCTTTGTTCTCTAGCATCCTGCAAAAGGCTACCAGTTTGGGTTTTAAATATCACCATGAATTCCTGAATATAAACATATGTAATGAGTTTTAGTTGTTCTCAGTCAATTATCTTTACTGATGCTCAAATTATGCCATATTTAGCCAGTAGGAGACACTTCAGCATTCACGACCTGACTTACGGCCTTCTGTGTTTTCTGGCGTGATAAGATATCTAGACCATCATGTACATTTCCTACCCCATCCTCAGTCTTCATGGGGCCATTTCCTTTTGGTAGGAGGTAGTATTTGGAGATCATGGTTTGGGTATTGGAGGTGCTCTTGCTACTGCGTCAATCATTATTTCTATGCCTTTTTAGTGGACAGAGTTAGGAATTATGGCTTTTGTTAAAGGTAAAACATATCCTTAGTTCAAACTTGCAATTCAGATTCAGGACTACAGCATTTAGTTAGCCCCATTCTCCTCTGCATTTTCTGTCTCCTATCAATTCCAGTTCAATGACACAAACATAAATATTCATTTGCTTTAACCCACAATACGCCATGTACTTTCAGCAAAACAATACAGGCACCAGCATATACAATTTCCTGAAAACAGTTTAAAAATGTATTTGCTCTATTTTATCCATAGCATATTTAAAATTGACTGGAATTCCCTCTGAGAGGTTATGCCACAAACTGGATATACAACAGGCTCATTGTTTTTGTTTTGTGTTCAATTTTTGGAGACTGCTTTTTTAAACTTTAATTTTGTTTTATAATTATGTAAAATATTTACATGGTTTCAAAGTCAACTCTGAGAAAACTCATACTCAAAGAAGTCTAGTTTCTGTAACTTTCCATTCTGGTCTATTTCCTCCCTTCTCATCAGTAACCAATTTTAATTTTACAGTTTATCTTTTTTTTTTCAAGCGTACATATTCAAATACAGGCATGTCCTCCCCCATTCTTAGATTAATAACAAGCTATACCAGTGTGTATCAGAATCAACAGGTAGGCTTGTGAGAACCCAGATTATTGGTTTGCACCCCCAGAGTTTCTGATTTAGTAGGTCCAGAATAGGGCCCAACAGTTTGCATTCTAACAAGTTCCCAGATAGTGCAGATGCAGGTCCAGGGACCACACTCTGAAAACCACAGGACTATATACACTTTTATCTACCTTTGCCCCATCCCTCCTAGTAGTATACAGACACTCTGTATTTGCTTCTACTGCTTCATAGTAGTACATTATGTGGCTATATCATGGCTTATTCAAACAGATTCCTGTTTACAGATATACATATTTCTACACACACACACACACACATATACATATATATACACACAAAATACCTATTTCTACATATTGTATGTATCCATAACTATTACTGCAAAGAACAGCATACTGAATTTTTGTCACTCGTCTTCAGAAAAAAATACTGGAAGCAGGACTGCTGGATGAAAAGGCTGAATTCAGACGTAACTTTGCTAGACACAGCCAAACTCCCATCCACAGAGTTGGTGCCATTTTGTTTTCCCACAATCATAAGACTGCCTGTGTCCCCATGGCCTCACCAACTTAGTATGCTGCCAAATTTTCAAGCAAAGTACTTTAACAAAATCTAAACTAGTTGCCAACTTTTAAAAGATGGAAGGTAAAAATACCTTGATTTCTGGCTTCTCCTGAAAAAGTACTAAATGCACTGGCCATGGCCCCACAGCTTCACGTGACATGAATGTCCCCACATCAGTACCTACACTGCTCTAGCCCCTGCTTGGGCCCATTCATACACTGGGTTCACCTGCTGAGCTCCCGACGGCACTGAAGTGTCCAGCCCTGCCTGGCTCCATGGGAAAGAGAGGCAAAGGGAATTGCTCACCGTCTTCCAGTAAATTAACACCAGGCTGGAGCTCTGCTCTGGGTTTGCTCCCACACTTAATTTCTTGCTGCTTCTTTCCTGTCTGCCTCCCACTGCACTTAACTTGGGACTGAACATGAGGCTGACTTGCCTTAAATTTAGCGACCTTCAGGATCATTTGAAATACCAAGTTTAAAAACAATGGCCTCAATGAAAATAGGTCTAAATTACTTCATATACTTGACCTACATATACCAGTCCTTAATATAGCCTCAATGCTCTGCACAATTGAATTTCATTGCATTTTGTGACACCCTGGCTCTATTCCTATCTCATATAGAGGGTTTTGATTTAAATCAGCTATATGTGCTCAATGTAAAATCAAATGCATATTTGATCTTAGATTTATAAGTTCTGTGGAAAACGATAAAACTTTGTAGGTTTATACAAAAATCAATAGTCCCTAGTTAGTTATTCTTAAATGCCCATTACTTATTACATATGCTTTTTAGAAGCACTTAGGGAAAAAGAAGGTAACAATAAAGAAACTTTACAAAAGTAGATACTTCCTCCTGATGCAAGTCTTTCAAATTGTAATTAGAGATGGTGTAGAAATGAGACATTTAATTATGAAAGAACCAAAATTTAACAGTCAGCGCTGGCCAGTTGGGCACTCAGATGTTTATTGAATGAATAACCAGAGTAAAGAAATCTGTGTGATTTTAGGGTTTCTTCTGCAGAGGGGTCAATTTCTCCCTCACCCCCAACAGGCTCACATGCATGCACATGGGTGCATATACACACACACACACACTTTGATTCCTGAGTTTGCACTGGATACTATGAGAAAGGCTTCATATGTGAATAGCATATAGGTAAGGTAACACTGATAAGAATTCACTCCAGTGATATGAATATCCAATATCAGCACTTTCTTGGATAATTTCAGTAAGTGGTGTGTGTGTGGTGTACACGCGCAAGCGCACGTGTGCACTGGGCACTGAAGGGAGAAGGGCACCAATGGAGAGGAAGAAGGTCAGGGGCAGTTATGGAGACAGACTGTCTCACTCCCACATGCTGCCCTGGATCAGCCCGGCTGATGGGCAAGATCAGGGATGGAAATGAGGGTGGAGGTGAAGGCAGGAAACCAAGGAAACCTGTTGTGGGTGTTTCCAGAGTCTGAGAGCAGCACATGCTCTGTGGGACACGGCTTGGCCTGTCCAGAATGCAACTATTATTTCTCTCCCTCAAGAGAATGGCCTCCACTGCCCTGTGCTCTTCCTTTATGAGCAGCAGTGAAGGACTATTGTATCCTCCTTTTGTCAGGAGGGATTTCTGTAACCTACACATACCACAAAAACAAGGTCAAAGATGAATCTCTTGTGAGACCCAGTGATTCAGATAAAAGCAGAAGTTAACTGCCAGCTTTACCTCTTTCATTAATGGCCTCTCAATTAAAGCAATTTTCCATTCCTCCCCAGAGTTGAGTGGCTGGTTGTGTTTCAGAAAACGTAACCATCTTCTAAATTTCAGGGTGCTGAGTGAAAAGCAGGCTGTGCCAAAACCAAATACTCCCTCGCAGTTCCCTGCTTACATGTGGAGGTGTGGAGTGCTGAGCTCGGATTTCTAATTAAACTTGGCAATATTACAATGAAAAAAAAGATTTGGGAGTTGGCAATGTGGCATATAAACAAACTTTTATGTGAATAATTAAGCCGCAGCTAAGCATATGCTGGACTGTCTTTAGTCACCTTGTGATTACAGTTACCAGTAAAAGCCCAAATGTTTCCGAAAGCGTCTATGTTGTTTAGGTGCTGTGGTTATTTTATCATATCTTCTTCGATACATTCGGCATATCTTTCTACCCATTTCTCCCTCTTTCATTTCCCTTCTCTTTTCCAAATTTCTACCCATAAAGAGAATTAGTTATGACATAGCCAATGTGTGAAAAGTACTGTGTGTGTATACACATGTGTGTGTATTTCCCATGTTAACATTGACACACCCACTCACAAAGTCAAGAGTGTTTTCTATATAAGCCCATCAACTGCTTTTAAGGAGCCACCCTTCAGTAACACCCAGAGTGTCATGTTTTGATACAAACCACTGGGTGGCTCTGCGGCCGTCAGGAATTACCTTGTGGAACAAGCCTGAGCCCAGGCAGGCAGGGAGGACATCTCAAAGTTCACGCTGGACTCCAGAGCTCCAAATGAGGTGCTCAGCTGATCCCAAAGCACCATCATGAACTTTGCTTAAACCACATTTGAAACCACAACGGCAGAAATCACATGAAGTTTCGCTACAAAGCAATTTCTGCTAGGGGTTTTCCAAGGAAAAGCTGTTGAATTTTCAAAAGAAACTTAAGATGGGATTCTATACTTAGTAGGGAGCATAGTAATGAAAAGGTTCACCCTGCAAAGCTGAGAACTCTACCTCCTAACCTGGCACAGAGTGTGATTTGACTATTCAAGTTTTAAAAGTCAAATCCTTTCCTTGCATTTTTCTAAAGCATCAGTGAAGCTTAAGAAAAATGTAGGAAAATGAGAGTGCATTTTTAACATGTAAGAGATTAATTCTGCATCTCTTTTTCCCCCAAATGATAATTACATAGCCTAGGCTAGTGCCACATAAATAGAAAATATTTAGATTCTAAAAAATTTTTGTAACTGGTCTAGGGGTATTTTATATGTATTTATTTTTTAAATTTTCTTCTAATCTGGACTCTCCTCACCCCAAGCTTAAATTTTTTCTTAGGAAAGATGAGTAACATCATTCAGTTACTATACAAGTTCTAGGAAATCTACTAAGTTAGAATTTTCTAACTTACTGGGGACAGTAACAATGTTTTTTTCTGCTGCTGATGGAAACAAACAAACAAACAAACAAACCAGAGTGAGCTTAGTGAGGCTAACTTCATCCAAAATGGAATAAACCAGTCATTTTAACTTTCAAATGAAAAGAGTTTGTTCTCAATATATTATCTGTCTCGACTGGCCCAGAGGAAGGAACCGGGCTTACCTTGGACACAAAACATTCTGCTATGGCCACAGGATCATTTTCACAGTTTTCTAAATCTTGCAGAAGTTCACTAAAAAAAAAAAATAACAGAAATATTACACTATAAGACTGATGGTTGAGGATATCTTACATAATTTGGGAGGTCAAACATTTATATGGTGTTTATAAGAAATCATATTTAATTGGATAATTGAGGATCTACTGTCATTATACCCAAGGCTTAGATGAGGGACTGGCCCAAGGTCATGGTGAAGCAGGGATTTAATCACAGGTCTGACCTGCAACTCTTGCACCCAGAGATAAGCCCTGCCTGATATCTGAGTCTTCTGGGCCTTTGTCATCATCCTTATGCAGGCGCACACAGTTATTCATTCATCAAATAGCTGTCTTGGTACCAAATACTAATGAAGGCATTAAGAACAAACACATCAGTGAGCCAAATGAGATAGGGTTGCTGGGCTCTTGGAGTTTGAAATCCACTGGAAGAGTCAAACATTCAGTGAAAAGTCACACTAACAAATTGAAAAATTACAAATGGAGCTCATGTTCCAAGAGAGAGATATGCTCTGGAAGGTAATATCTTTCCTTTGATGAGAATTTTATTTATTTATTTTTTTTGAGAGGGCATCTCTCATATTATTGATCATATGGTTGTTAACAACAATACAATTCTGTACAGGGGACTCAATGCACAATCATTAATCAATCCCAAGCCTAATTCTCAACAGTCTCCAATCTTCTGAAGCATAATGAACAAGTTTTTACATGGTGAACAAGTTCTTACATAGTGAATAAGTTCTTACATGGTGAACAGTGCAAGGGCAGTCAAATCACAGAAACTTTCGGTTTTGGAGAATCTTATTTTTTAATGGTAGTATCATTATTTTAAGTAACTGCATAATATTTCATTATGTGGATGTAGCATAATTAATATAACTAATTACTAATTTAATATTCACTGTTGGATAAAATTCTATAAATAGAATTGCTAGGTCAAACAAAGGGCATTAATGGGGTAAATGTCTGTACATTTCCAAACTGCATTCTTTGCAAATTGTTAATATATTATTTACTATGTTAAATGTTTATTTTAGTTAGTGAGCCAATTTAATATTTACATATTTAATAAAGATTTAAGTAGTCCTATAGGGATTATGATAAATAATAATCCCTATAGGGGTTTCTTGCTTTCTGTTTCCCATTCTCTACTGCCACTCTCCAGGATAATTTTCAGCTCTTTCGGTGTTTCTAAACTTGCTGATACAACATTCTCATTATTTTTAAGCTTTAGATAGTTACTTCTTAATTTCCCATTCTATCTTCTCAGTGAGTTTTGTCATGAAATTTGATTAGATTAAAAGTCAGAGCTTACATTTTTAAGACTATGTAAATATTATTCTCAGCTGAGTCTCAGAATATACCATAATTACATTTTCTTTCTTGTACAACCATGTTTTCCTTGGAAAATTTGAGGGGGTTTTGCTTTGTTTTCAAAGTACACACCACTAATTTATCTTCAAACTTTGTGTCAGAAGTTTAACTCTTGTCTCACTGTGTCCAAACATCAGGTCATCTATTGGCTGCATTCCTTTTTGGTGACCTCTCTGCTGGGGCCTTGATCCTTCTGCTCCTTCCTGAAGAGGTTGCTCCCTAGGCCTGCTGGGCTGTCTCCTCAACACCATCCTGACCACGCCCTTCACCTACCTGTGTTGGACGCCTTGTTTCTTAGATATCATTTCAGATGTGCTCCTTTTTTCAAGAGATTACAACATCCAGTAGCTGTCTGAGTAAGAGTACTAGGAGTAAACTTTCTGAGACTTCCTGTTTCATTATGTTCTCCCTTCACACTTGGCTGATAATGTCAGTAGGTATAGAATTCTTGGTTGGAAACCATTTTCTTTGAGTATTCAGGAAACTCTCTGTTGCCTTATGAATTCCAATGCTGCTGAGAAGTCTAAAATCATTCTAATCCATGACCCAGGTTCCATGTGACCTGTTTTTCTCTTCTGGAAGCTTTTAGAGTGTTCTCTTTGTTAACATAATTCTGAAAGTGTTGATGGTTGGCTTTGAAGTAGGTTTTTTTCATGTATGGAACCAATTTGAACATTTGGGAAATGCTCATGAGCATCAATTCTCAAAGTGACCTCTGGTTTCCTGAAACCCCTTGGGAGGTCCATAGGTCACTATTCCTTAAAAATACAGATCTTATTGGATTTTTACTTATATTCTCTCTCGACAGTACAGTGGGCTTTTCCAGAGACTACATGAACAGTGATAACAAACCAGTGGAAAGTAAAAGCGGATATGAGATTCCAGCTGTCTTCCACTAAGTCGGACAATAAAGAGATTGTGAAAAAGTAAACAACTTGCAACATGCAAAAAAATGTTGTAATAGTAAAACTATTTTTTTAAGAACATGTGGCCTTGCTATTTTTATTTTTGAATAAGTTGATATTTTAATGGTTTCTTAGTTTTAATTTCTATCATGGTAAACAAAACACTGTAAACCATGAGCAAAAAAGCTTTTTCAGTCTTTTAGTAGTTTATAAGCCAAAATTACATTTATGTGTAATCTGGGACCAAAAAGCTAAGGAACCTCTTTTGCAGAATTATGTCTTTGATATTTCACCCCCTCTATTTTCTCTCTATTTGAAGCTCCTACTATTCACATCCTGTATCTCCTGGTTTGATACTCAAATCTTTCTTTTCCTTCCTCTTTTATTTTCCACCTTCCAGTTTATTTTTCTGTTTTCTGGGAGACATCAACTTTTTCTTCTTCTCTTCTATTGAATTTTTTCATTTCTACTAACTGTTTTGTGATTTTAAGGTATGTGTGTGTGTGTGTGTGTGTGTGTGTGTGTGTGTGTGTGTGTGTGCCTTTTTAGTATGCTCTTTGGATGCTTTCTTATGTTTCTGTTCTTATTTTGTGGGTGCAAAATCTTTTATGTCCAAGGATGATTATTACTATATTATTGTTATCATCATTATTTTGGACTTTTCTTTCCTGCTCCTTGCTTTTTGCTGAGTTCCCTTTACTCTCTGATCATTCTGGCTTCTATTGTTCTTATTAAAAGCTCTCCCCACATAATATAAGTTGGTCACAGGGATGGAAGTGTGGCATGGAGAATATAGTCAATGGTTCTGTCCTATGTAACATATTTCTAGATAGTAACTGCACTAGTTGGATTTAGTAATGTGTCTAACTGTTGAACCACTGTGCTGCATACTTGAAACCAATGTAAGATTCTGTATCAACTACATGACAATTTAAAACAAAGCTCTCCCCAGATATCTGGGGGATCTTCATTTGTCCTTTCCTATTTGAAGGTGAGACGCTACAATGAGAGCTGTAAACTCTGTGTAGATGTGGAGATTTTCATGGGGTGTTCTTCACTCAACGTAGCTGGTCTCAAACTTTCTGGTGTCAAGATCTATTTATGCTCCTAAAAATTCTTTATGTGGATTATATCTATCAATATTATTCAAACTGAGTGATTTTTAAAATTTGATCCAGTCATTTAATAACAAATCCAATAATTTTAATATAAATAACTTTTTATGAAAAATTTTATGAAACAAAAAAATTAGTGAGAATAGCATTGTTTCACATTTTTACAAATCTCTAACATCTATCTTAATAGAACACACATGGATTCTCATACCTGCTTCTGCATTCAATTGGTTATTATGGTTGATGTATGTACACAGAACAAAAAAATCCAGGCTCACACAGGTATGTCATTAGAAAATGGAAGAGTATTTCAATAGCTTGTGAGAAAAGTGTGTCTATTGTCCTTTGATATTACACTGAAACTCAACAACTAGTTGCTTGGAGTTTGTTGGAGTCTAAAAAATACCAATGTACTATACCTTGTTAACTTTAAAACCCCAGTCTCTCTTGCACCTTGAAAGGATCTTTCACCATTGCATGATTTCAGGATAGCCCCAACTTGAAACATTCTTTCCTAATATTCCTATAAAACATTCCCTTTGTAAGGTTACTTTTAGTTTGGAAAATATAGCTCTGATATTTGTATCAGTATCTTTTATAGAAAGATGGGTGTGATTAAATTAAAGACAGTTGGAATCTAACCCTTGGGACCTAAACACTGGATAAAGTAAGAGAAAAGGTCAAAGAGAAGAAACAGTAGAAAAAAAGCAGCAACGTTTCTGAGCCAGTGTTCCTGATGGCTGGAGGATGCGTGCACTGGGCGTAGGCTTTGTGGCCACATCTTTCAATATAAATCCTCTTTCTGAGCAAACACCTTGCTCAAGAACCTTAGAACTGGGAGTGAGTCAGGACACCTTCCAGTCCCAACCCCTAATTTTAACGTGAGCAGAATCCATCAGGTTACTTTTCATGGCTTAACAGAAAAACTCCTTGATAATATTTAACTCCCTGTATTCCAAATGCTGTGCTCAAGTTCCCCTCTGAACTTTAATTTCATCTCCAGAGTGGACTTTCTGGTAGGAGGTAGTGTCTCCAGGGATCCACCCTGGCTCTAGGCATAGCTCACTTGTAACTGAATGGCTGGCATTCATTGCTCAAGGACCACAAGGCTGGGAGGAAGCTCAGACACCTTCTGGTCCCAATGCCTAATTTTAAGGTGAGGGAACCAGGACTCATAAAAGGGAGGTAGCTTGCCCGAGGTCACACAGCTAATAACTAATGGCCACATCTGGGGTTAGTAACAAGACTCTTATATCCCAGTTCTGCACTTTATTATAAACACATCTATTGAAAGATATGTTTCCTGATCGACTCAAGAAAGCTGCGGGCTAGACTGCTTGGTGGTGTCTTCAGTGGGAGGCCTTGTCTACCTGGGAGGTCTTGTTTTGAGTCACCTGGCCAGCTTTCCTTTAGAGCCCTTTTCTAAAATAGGGTAAATACTGAAAATGGGAACAGTGTGGAGAAAGTAATGGGACTTCTTTAATGTTCTTGTCATCAGGGTTATCGTCCTGATATTATTGGCCCCCCACCTTGTTTGCTCTCATTCAACAGTAATTATTGAAAACCTCCTATTTTCAGGTGTGGAGGTGACAGGATAAAGATAATGGACAAAAGCCCTG